GCATGGATTCTCACCATATTACCCTGTCCATCAGGTTGCTCTAGAACTGGAAAACCATAAAACTCAGTTATATAGTCTTCTTTCTGCCTAGCTTGTTCTTTCTCCAACTCTGCAACCTCATCAGGATCTAAGTTATCCTCAAAGTCTTCTCCTAACAAATTATTATTAGGAGGGACATACAACTCTTCTGGAGAAGCTGATGGTTTAATCTCTTTTTGTCTTGAATCCTCCCATTTTTCTTTCCTTTTCCTCTCTAACCCTGAAAGTTTTACTTTCTCAGTTCCATGCTGTATATACAGACGATTTCTAATTAAATTCCATACGAAAAAAACATGAGGCTACTGCCTTGTCCCATTTTTATTTTCAAATTTTACTCACCGTGCCCTTTTCTCTTTACTTTTGTAAGACCTGGGGTCTCACAGCTCAGGAGTTCAAGATCGCGCCCTTCCCAGAAACCCCCACAGACTAAGACTCGTTGCAAAAGCAAGAGGTTTATTAACCATTGCACAATGGGGTCACCCCTGCCGGTCAGCAAAGAGTGGCACTGGGAGACAAAGGCCTTTTGGTTTTTAAAAGAAAAATTGCGGGAGATTTGAAGTTGCAGTCTTGGCAATTTAGGATTGGATGAGGAAGCTATAAAGTAAGATAATTGGTTAGTCTTAGGTGCTCAAGCTTGGCCAGTCCTGCCAAGTGTGGATGCAGCTGCAATTGAAGGTGGGGGTGGTTAGCTCATCCTTGAAGATTAGGGGCTACAGACTTTTGGCTGGAGGTCAAAAGCTACTCAGAAGAAGACTAGATTTGTTGCTAAGAAACGCTATCTCAAAGACAAGGGTCTGGTCTTTTTGCCGAGTGAAGGTCATTGCTTGCTTGCCTTTTTTTATATCTGTCCTCACAGATAGGGTCACATTCCTTCATTCTCTGGAAAGGTACTAAGAGGCTTTAGCTTAATCTGGACCTAAAACTCAAAACTATAGGCTTCAGAAGACATATAGGTTACAAAGTTAGCCTAACCCTTTCACTTTATGATCCGAGCTGGCCAGCAGTGTCCTTCACTGCTTCCCTGAATCTCAGGGTCCCTGTTCAGGCACCATACTGCCGGAGCCCGCCAGCAGAGTGGAACAGTTCTTGAGTGGGGAGTGAGGATTGAAAGAAAATTTTAAAACCAACACACTACACATGGGATCTGTTCAAGAGGGCTGCCAGTAGAAACTTGCGCACGGGTTTATTTCACAATCCTTTTTTATAGTCAGAGCAAAGCACCTCAATCCAATGAAAGGGTTCTAGAAGTCAAACTTGTTTACCTCGACCACTTGTCTGTGTGATCTTTACTCAAACAAAAGGAAATGAACCTGGCAAAACGTCCTGCCTGTTACTGTCTCCAAGGTGAAAACATGTTTTTCGCTGAGAGCTCAATAACAAAGCAGCCTGCCAATTGTCTCTCCACACTCAGTTTCTCAGAACAAGCCTGGGAACACATAGATTGGAAAGCTGTGTCAGAGCCAGTGGATGGACTGACTACCCTGGTGCGTGCCCCTCTCCAGTTGTTGGCAGAGTAGTCTCCCTTCTCGCTGTCCTGAGCACTGTGTGATGGCCAGCACCGCTTCAGCAGGACAGCCCGGCTTTGCCTCTCATTCTGTGACCTGATTGGTGACCCTCTGCTGCCTTCCCTGCCTAGCAGGATGGCTAGAGTAGCAGGTTTCGTTCTTGTAGTGCTAGTGGTGTGGCTCAGAGAGTGACCGGCTCTTAGATAAAGGCCTTCCCAGTGGCTCATCTCAAGTGTACTGCATTGGCTGGTCATGTCTGGCTAGGACAGAGTTTACTCAGAGGTAGCTCCTCATGCCCAGGTTCATGTGTAGGCACTGGCAGGTGACTTCTCTTGTAGCCGAAGAGAAGGAAGCTCACATTCCATTGGTGTATCAGGACTTCTTGCCTCTGTCTGTGTCCTTTGACCTTTGCGATAAGAAAGTAAGAATCTACCTGATGAATATTTATTTCTCTCTTTTTAAGAAAAGTTTTATTTCTTTATTTATTATGTAAACAGTATTCTGCCTGTATGTAGGCCAGCACACCAGAAGAGGGCACCAGATTTCATTATAGATGGTTGTGAGCCACCATGTGGTTGCTGGGAATTGGACTCAGGACCTCTGGAAGAGCAGCCAGTGCTCCTAACCTCTGAGCCATCTCTCCAGCCCATGAAATGAGAATTTCTTAAAATAGCACAAGACTTATCAGCCAAGCCTTGGCAGTGGTCTGTCCCTGTCTTTAGGTGTGACCAATGCTCTTGAGTGGCCTGCCACCCTTTGCTGCCCCCAGTATGTCCTTGCATATAAAACTCAGCGTCTTTGGATGGGGCAGGTGCTGACTTTCAATCCTGTTTGAAAGTGTTTATATTTCACAGATGCTAAATATGTGTTAAGATGGAGAAACTGGAATCAGCAGTGGTAAACTTAGTAAAGAAAGAGGCTGAGACTGGCTCAGCAGTTAACACATGCTGCTCAGTCATGAAGACCAGAGTTCAAATCTCAGCACCCACATTAGGCAGCTCACAAACATCAGTAACTCCTGCTGCAAGGGATCTGATGCCTTCTGGACTCCGTGGGCACCCGCACATGCCTGCACTTATGCTCAGATACACCTGCATACTCACAAGTAAAGTAGAGGCTGCTTGTGAGAAATCTCAAGGAATCAGCTTTAAGCTAGTGTAAGATGTTATGTTTGCCATTGAAATGACACTGTGTTAAAGGAATTCCTAGAATTAATATCATTCTGTCAGGAACTGTGTTTTGTATAGGATCTGCATGTTTGTCGGGAACATTCTAGTTACTTACCATTGCTGTATGTTTTCTATTCATTGGCTGTTTCTTGGGGCACAGCTGTATTCCAGCTAGGGCGGAAGGTTTAACTGCCTCTTCAGGTACCCCAGAGACTTAATGGTGCCTCCTGACCACGGTATATTATATGGCCTAAAATGAGTGGCCATGTTTGTACTTAAATACAGCTTTAGATAGTATAATTTTGTATTGTTTGTAAGAGATGCAAATTAGGAAAGATGAAAAGGAACCTTCTAGAAACAGCCCTTAAGAAAGCTGCCCTGAGCTCAGCACTTGGGAGACAGAGGCAGGTGGATCTCTGTGAGTTCAAGACCAGCCTGATCTACAAAACAAGTCCAGGACAGCCAGGCTTGATACACAGAGAAACCCTGTGTCTCAAAAAACCAAATAGATATAGATATAGATATAGATGAAAGAAAGAAAGAGAAAAGCAAGCAAGCAAGCTGGGCTGATTGTATGGCTCTCAGCCAGTGGTTGAATAGGAAGATCACTTCAGAGTGATCAGCCTGTCCATTTGCTACACACTGATTCTCTCTCAGGTGAGCCAGTGGGGCTTTAGATGGTTAGGATGGCACTGGCTAGCTTGAACTGCCTTCTTTCTTGTAGAGCATGGCCATTCTCAGGGTATTTGCACACAGTGGTGAGCAGGGGCCCCTTCTGAGGAAGTGTCACTGTGGCTGCAGGTTGGAATGCTTTGCACCTGCTGACCTTTGGACCCCTTATCCCATAACTCCCACTTCCCTGAATTCCTTACCCCCCAGCCTCCTTTGCTAGTGCTGGCATTGTGGGTATGTGCCAAGATACCTGGCTCTCTTACGTCTTAGAAGCAGGGTCTCCAGCCTGGGCACAATTGACTTTGGGAGCTGTTCCTAGCTATAGGGTCTGCCCTATACAGCCCCTTAGCAGTACCCCAGTCTCCTCCCAAGAGCAGCCCCCACCTTACCCTTCCACTGTAGTCACAACCAAATCACCTATGCCTGAGAGACACTCTTTAGAGAAGTACTTGCTGAGTACACAGTCCCTTTCTCTCCAGGAGCTAGCTGTTCTGGTCCTCAGAGAAAGGGACAAACACAGAGCCTAGAGTTGAGCCTCAGCTCTGTGCATGCCCCCACTCCTCATGCAGGTATGTGGAGTTCCTGGTGCTAGCCTAGTACAGCAGGCCGGCCCAGGCTGTGAATCTCCAATGGCAGAAATTGAAGTCCTTAGGACAACTGTACTGGATGATAGTCTCAACCTGCTGGTCCTCAGGCTCGCTCCTTATGTATGTTTGTATTTTTTATTATTAATATTATTTAATTTTGGTTTTTCAAGATAAGGTTTCGCTGTGTAGCCTTGGCTGTCCTGGACTCACGGACAGGATAGCATTGTAGACCAAGCTGGCCTTGAACTCACAGCAATCCACCTGCCTCTGCCTCCCTGAATGCTGGGATTACAGGCATGCACCACAATGCACGATCTCAGGCTCTTTCTTAACCTTTCTCTACAATGGTGGTTTTGTGATAATCAAGTCTGTGGGTACTCTTCTCTCTGATTCACCCTCAGATTCCCTGGGTCCACCTTGGAGACAAACAGCAGGCTTCTCTTTACTCTTTCCCCAAATGCTGGCCACAGAAAGCTCATGTATCAGTACACAACTAGATTATGAACTAGTTGACCATGAGCCTGTGAAGGGATGAAAAAGGGAGAGTTAACCTCCTAGGAGCACATGTTCAGTGCACTGGTGGGATCAGAGGCTTTGCAGAGAGGAGGCGACTGGGTGTGCAGGGCTGAGGACTGGTAGCCCAGTCCTGTTCTAGTGCAGAACAGGAACAATAGATTAGAGGTTTGAGAAAGGCAGGCTCAGACGTGGTCCTCTGAGCAGCGGAGTGGGAAATGACTTGGTTATGTGCATGTTGAGAACGTTGGAGTGGTTGGAGTGACTTGGAAGGACAGAACAGGTGAACCCAGCCTGATGAGGTCCAGGACTACTGCTGTGCTCATGGGGCCAAGGGGAAATGGACCCGCAGAGGGAGCCAGGTCCCCAAACCTTAAGGTCTAGTTGAAGGACACAGGGTCCATGTGCCTGGCTAGAGAGAGGACACTGCCCTTGGCCTGGAAAAAAAAATAGAGACTTAAGGTTTTATTTGAGAGAGATTTTTTTCCACTTTTATATACATTTTTTTCCTCTAGGAAATAGACAGACGATTGGAAAAAAAACTGAAGATCACACAAAAGGAGAGGTAAGGCTGCTGTCTGGCGTGAGGGCTCAAGCTCTCTGCCGCTGGAGAGCTGGGCAGGCAGGGTTCTCCAGCTGGCTGGTAGTGTTAGCATAGGCTCCTGGGCAGCTGGCTCTTGCCTCCCAGTAGGTGACCAGAAAAAACACTGCACTGAGGCTTCCGGGTGAGGCTTAGTGTCTCCAGCCTCAGGGGCCTGTGTGAAGTCATCTGAAGCGAAGAGGGAAGGTGACAAGTTGCAAGGTTTTGGCTTAGGCGTGGCTGTGTCCCAGTGGCTCTGAGGTGTGAGGTAGTTGTTTTTCCCTCTGGATATCGATGTCTTTTGTGACATGAAGGGTTTGGACAGATGATATCTCTGTGACTTGGAGACTTGGCAGTTTAGGGTATTATTAATGAGGGTATCTTGGAAGGAAGGATTCTAGGACATTCTTGAGAGACCTTTGATTGTTTTCTCACCATCGTGCAGCATGGGACATGGGATTCAGAGTGGGTGACTTTGGGCTTAGATAACCCAGGGATAAGCAAACAGAGAAGAACTGGCTGCATTCACTCCCCCAGGGGATCCTGGGAGTCTCTTGCCCCACACTGGCTTTCCAGACTACCTATGGTTGTGATCAGACTGCTGGCTCCTTTACTCTTCCCAGGAACTGCTCCCCATGGTCACAGGTCCCTTTACACGCTGTCCACACTCAGCCTGGACCCTTGCACCTGACCCAGAGCACGCAGTTTCCACCCTTCCTGACAGTCCAGGCTCTGGCAGAGGTCTCTGTGGTTGTGAGCAAGAACTGGTTGACAGGTCTGGGGCAGCCCTGGTGGCTGGTGTAGATGTTACCTTGCTTCCATCCTCCAGTTTGGGTTCTGTTTCTTCCCTCCCTGTATTGTTGGTCCTCTTTGTGTTTGGGGAATTTTACCTCTGCTTGTGGCCACCTGGCATTGATGTACACATCTACTGGCCTTGGACAAGCCTTCTTTGGAGCGTTGCCAAGCACTGTTTCTATGCCCAGCCTTCGCCCTAGCCCCGCCGCCACTGCCCAGCAGAGCAGAGAGCCCTGGTAAGATTTTTCTTCTCAGAGGCTCTCATGTGGCAGTGACGTGCTGGTCTGGTGCAGCCTGTCTCTGAGAGGTACAGGTCACTTGCCAGAAGGCAGAGAGAGTTTGGTAAATCCTGTCTTGCTTGTTGCCGGGTAGAGTGGCATAGCAGGTGTCTGTGTATTGTATTTTGAGCACACGCTGTGGGAGACCTGGACTGAGGGGCTCCCAGATCATCAGCCTCTCATACTCTGGTCTGTGTAGGGAAACTGGGGTTTTCATCAAAGTCGTTGCATTATGGTGTGGCCAGGTGGTGCTTGCTGGCCCTGCCATGCACACGGATTGGAAGCCTCAGGACCACAGGTTGACGAGCTGGCCCCTGCAGGGTTAGACCTGTGGAGCAGTTCTGTACCCTACAGAGCTGGTGGCAAGGCTGCTGTCCTGCTTGAGGAGTGGGAGTGCAGTTGTCCGGTCATGGGCCAGGTGAACAGTAGGAAGGGAGAAGACAGTGATGAGGAGGGTGTGGGACTTGGATGGGTCTTCTGGACATTGTGGGATTTGTGAAGCTGTATTTGCTCTTTGTCAGCAGGAAATCCAAATCTCCTCCCAAAGTGCCCATTGTGATTCAAGACGATAGCCTTCCCACGGGCCCCCCTCCACAGATCCGCATCCTCAAGAGGCCCACCAGCAACGGTGTGGTCAGCAGCCCCAACTCCACCAGCAGGCCAGCCCTTCCTGTCAAGTCCCTCGCACAGCGGGAGGCAGAGTACGCAGAGGCCCGGAGACGGATCCTGGGCAGTGCCAGCCCTGAGGAGGAACAGGAGAAACCCATCCTCGACAGGTGAGTGTACATGCCGGCAGTGGCAGGGGAGGAGCTGGTAGAATCTGCATGCGCACTGGCTTGCTGGGCACCTTATGTGGGTTCTGGGAAAGAACTGAGGTCCTCAGATTGAGGGTCAAGCTCCATAAGCACTAGCGGAGCGCTCTCCAGCCTAGGGTGCTGTCAGGTGTCAGTGGGCACCACAGTGTTCAGGCTGCGCAGACCTGAGAGGATGGGCCTTGAGTCATCCTCTGCCAGCAGCATGCATTTCAGCTATTTACCCTGATGCCTGATCTCAGAAGTAGGGTAGGGGCTGATTCTGCCTTGCCAGCCAGCATTGAATGCTTTCTTACCAGTGAGCAAGTGGCCATAAGGGGCTGAATTCTACCCAGGACTCCAGACAAGCCCAGTATGGTTGCCTGGGTCGCTAGGAGCCCTGTGTGAGTTTTTGATGAAATTTTAATGTTTTCACTTGTATCTTTTTTTAATTAAAAAATTTAGATTTGTATTATGTGTGTTTCTTTCTGATAACACAGTAATTATTAAACATGCCTTTGGAGCCAGGCAGTGGTGGTACACTCCTTTAAACCTAGCACTTGGAAGTCAGAGGCAGGCAGATCTCTGTTTCAGGCCAGCCTGGTCTACAGAGCAGGTTGTCCAGGACAGCCAAAGCTACACAGAAAAACCGTGTCTCAAAACCAAAAAACTAGCCCCAAACCAACCAACCAACCAAACAAAACCACCTGGAGACATGGCTCAATCAGTAGATTGCTGGCTGCACAGTCATGAGGACCTGAGTCTGGGTCCCCAGCATCCATTCACAGGCTGGGCACAAGCTGCTGAGATGGCTCAGCTGCTGAGTGCGCTTGCTGCCAACCCTGACTGCCAAGTGCAGTCTTGGGAACCGTGTCTCACAGTGGAGAGAACCAGCTCCGGCAGGTTGTCCTCTGACCTCCGTACCTGTGCTTGCTGGTGCACATCTCACATGCACAATAAGTTTGAAAAAAAATTAAAAGAAAATACGGATGGGCTGGAGAGATGGCTCAGAGCTTAAGAGCACTGCCTGCTCTCCCAAAGATCCTGAGTTCAGTTCACAGCAACTACTTGGTAGCTCACAACCATCTATAATGAGATCTGATGCCCTCTTCTGGTGTGCAGACAGAGTATTGTATGATAAATCTTAAAAAAAAAAAAAAAAAAAAAAAAAAGGAAAATGTAGTTGGAGATTGAGGAAGACACCAAATGTTGACACACAAAAATCCTATTTTTGACACAGGGTCTCATTTAGCTTAGGCTAGCCTCAAACTCACTATTGTAGAATTACCTTGAATGCTGATCCTCCTGTCTCTGCCTCCGACTGCTGGGATTACAGGTGTGCACCCCCTCACCTGGTTTACATAGAACTGGAGTCAAATATATGGCTTCCTACATGCCGGGCATCCTCTCTGCTAAGGCACATGTCCAGTTTATACATTTCGTCTTTTGAGACACTTTCGCCCTGTAGCCTAGGCTGATCTGAGTCCTCCTGCCCCAGCCTCCTTGGTAGTAGGGTTACAGCCACAGCACACTTGACTGCTCTTCTTTTCTCCCCAGTATTGGGGACTGTGCCTTTAGGCCTCCCCAGGCGCATGTTCCCAGTCCTCTAGTTTGGAGAGTCTGTCTTTGCATTTATATTCTGGACTTGAACAGGTGATCGAGTGCTGTGTCTGTCCCTTCTTGGTGGTGTTTTAGTTTTAGTTTGCTTTTTGGTTTTGGTTTTTAGGTTTTTTGAGTTATGGTTTCTCTTTGTAGCCCTGGCTGTCCTGGAACCCACTCTATACACTAGGCTGGCCTCAAACTCAGAGATCCACCTGCCTCTGCCACCCAGGTGCTGGGTGTGTACCACCATGCCCAGCTTGCTTTTTGGCTTTAAAACCCAAGTTCTCACACATGCTGGCATGGAATTCACTATGTAGCCCAGGCAGCCTTGCACTCAGGGTGGTCCTCCTGCCTCCCTAGCACTGTTACAGGCGTGTGCCACCATGTCTAGTGCCATCGTTGTTTTGAAGGAACATCCATTCTGTTTTCTCCTCTTAGTCTGCACCTGTCTGGAGTGGGAAAGTCCATTTCCTTCTGTCTTCTCTAGTACTAGGAGTCAGCAGCTAGCCTCGTGGTTTGGAGGGAAGCAGGAGGCAGACAGGTGGGTGCCAGCTCACTGCAGAGCTCCTGGCTGGGGGCCCAATACTGCAACAATCTGTATTAGTTGTTTCTATGGAAGATATGCTGTCCATGCCACTCCTCCCTCCACAGGATGGGTGTGCACACTCCCTTCTGCTTCCAGATAAATAATGGCAAATGAAACGGGGGAGCTGTTCTTGCTGTGAGTTAAGATGGACCATGGGCCTCTGTCCTTCCCACAGGGAGCTGCCAGAGTGGAAGATGCCCCAGTCAGCTTGCTAGAGGAGGCTCACCTAATCAGGTTGGCTGGTAACCCCAGCCTCAACCATGGCTTGATTTTTTGTTTTTTGTTTTTTTTTTAAGGGTCAGGGCGGGAGGTGGCTCAGATGGTAAGAGTGCCCACAGCACAAGCATGAGGACCCCAGTTTGAATCCTCAGCACTTACATAAAAGCCAGGCAAGGCTACCAATGACTGGGTGGGGCACAGGGGTATGTTGGGAGGCCAAATGGACTCCTGGCCATTGGCCAGTCAGCCTCACCAATTGGTGAGTTCCAAGTTCAGTGAAAGACCCTATCTTGAAAAGTAAGGCGAAGGACGATGGAGGATGCCACCTGGTCAGCCATACACATGCACCTGTGCACACATGTCCCCCTCTCAAACATGGCATGCACAACAGAATGTGGCATCTTTACATCCTCAAGGCCTTCCTTTTATCTTCCTTTAGGCCAACCAGGATCTCTCAACCTGAAGACAGCAGGCAGCCCAGTAATGTGATCAGACAGCCTTTGGGTCCTGACGGGTCACAAGGCTTCAAACAGCGCAGATAAATGCGGACAAGAAAGGATGCCGCTGCCACCGCTGCCGCCACCATCATCGCCTCCTGGATTGTCTGCCATGGGTTGCACTGCCATGGCAGACATCTGGACTTGAGCAGAGGGAACGACCTGACTTACTTGCACTGTGATCCCCCTTGCTCCGCCCACTGTGACCTTGAACCCCATGCACTGTGACCTCTGCCTTCCCCCCTTCCCACTGTGATTGGCATGTTGACAAGGGCTGTCCCAAGTCAATAGAAAGGGAAAGGGTGGGGATCGGGGAGGATTGGGGGAACCTACCAAGGACTCAGAGTAGAGGGTCAGACAGTGCCACTTGGCCACTTGGGGTAAAGCCAGTGCCAGCAATAACAGTTTATCATGCTCATTAATTTGGGATTTCAAACACAAATGAGAACTCCCCCCCACCCACCCCAAGTGCATGTCGCCATCACTTAAAAGTAAGTTCCATTGAAAATATCCTTTCCTTTTTTTTTTCTTCCTATTTTTGTTTATACAAAGAATCTGATTTGCAAGAAAAAAGTGCATGGAAGGGGTTTTAGCAGTTTAATGAATTTTTAATTGAGAAAGGGTAGTTTGGTAGTCACTTAAAGATGTTTCTAGGAAATTTGCTAGAAACATTAACCAATAGGATTTTGGAAAGCTTAGCTTCTGTATTCCTACTGCTGCCCAGAAAAGGGGCTGGGCTCGGGAGTCCCCCTTCCCCCAACCACCACCGTGGGTGAGCATCTGTGCCTATCGCCTTCCTTCCTCTGGCTAAGTCCCACCTGAGTTGTCTAGAGATCGCTCCGGGAGCCTGGGGGGGGGGGGGTGCTGACCCCACCTTAGTATTGTGGGAGATGGGGAAAGTGACAGGTTTCCCTTTCCATATCCCTCAGGGTGGCTCCCTACCAGCCAGGTTTGCGGCTTCTAGGGAAGGGCAGGGAGCGACTCCGGGCTCAGAGAGGCAGTGGTGGCACTTGTCCAGTGTTTGCTGTCAGTGTAAGCCCAGGAGAAAGTCTGGCTTTAGAACTCCAGGCCTATGCCTGGGGTGGTCAGAAGGTAGATGGTCCTGTCCCTTCCAGCAAGACTGGAATGCTTAAGGATCTGAGGCGTGCCACATCTGTTGATGGTCCTGGCTCAGAAACTATAGCTGGTACATTTCCTGGGTGAAATGAGTACAGTAGGAGTAAAGCAGTTGGAGAAGAGTTCGTTAAGGAAAAACTTTGCATTGCAAAGGCAGGTGGCTGACAGGTTCCCCAGAGGCCTCAGATGTGCTTTCCCTTCTTAGAGCAAGGCTGGCATGAAGGCCATTTCTCCAAGCCAGGAAAGATTTGCTTTGTCTCTTGATGGGAGAGGCTTGAGAAAGCAGCTGTATCCTACCGGGATACAGGCTTTGTAGCCTCTTCCAGTGCACTTCGCCTTATGCCTGGGCCAGCCTGGCAGCCTCCCCTCTCCTGACCAGCACTCAGGTTTGGGAGTGGGTGGTGGTGTGGGATTATCAGGGCAGCCATGGCGGCCAAGGTGTTGAGCTTGAGCTGAGTTTTGCAGGATCACACCACCTTCAGTTCCCCTGGCTTATGCCCTGTGGCAGTGGCCCACATCATCATCCCCTTAGCAAGCAGCTCTTCCCCCAGCACAGCCCTAGTCCTGCCTGAAACCAGGGGCCATCTGGGAGTGAGCTGTGACAGAGCCTCAGCAAGGGGGTTGATCACCCCCAGGAGCAGGTAGAAAGGAACTTGGCTGCTAGCACATAGGCTAGGGCCCACCCACAGGGATAGTGGTTGTGGTTGAAGGACAGACTGCCCTTTCTTTGGAGAAGGGTGTAGAAACCCCGCTTGCCAGGCCCCCTCTACTGGGAGCCAAGGGCAGCTGGTGTCTGCACATTGAGAGCATGCAGGAGTGGCTCTCCCATCTCACTGTGGCCCATGGAGGCCCCGCCCACAGTGCGCCTGCCTACCAGCAGCCATGTATTTGGCCTCCTAGATGGAGACGTGGCTGGCATGCTGAGAGAAGGAAAGAAAGGAAGGAAGAAAAAACAGACTGGTGTTGGGGGAGGTGGGAAGCATGGGAAACGGTTTGGACTTTGTGTGTATGTGTGTGTTTGTGGGTTGGTTTATTTTAATTTGTGTGTGTGTGATTATTTTTTCCTTTTTTTTTTTTTTTTTTTTTTTTTTTGTAGTTGTCTATAACTCCATAAGTGCTATTTTTCTTTTTCTTTCTTTCTGTCTTTAAGTTGCAGGCTTTGGCTTGGAAATCCCCAGGGGAAAGAGGGGCAGGAACCTGAGGCTGCTGCCCTTTTGTCTGCCTTCACGGTACTGTCCCTTCCCCCAGCTCTTCCTGGACCCCATGAGCCAGGCCTCAGCCCTTCCAGCTAACCGCTTCCCATGAGCCACTACTCTGATGTCAGCCTATAACCAAAGGAGCTGGGGGTCCGGGTCTGGTGACCAGCCCTTCTCAGTCCCCTCAATCAGGGTGCTCCCCACCTGCAGGCAGGAGGCAACACCCTATCTGCTGCCATCAGCCCCTTCCAGAGCCCGCCTGTCCCGCCCAGCCCTGTCCTGCCCCGCCATACCCTGCTCTGCCCCATCTGGGGGTGCTCTGCTCAGGGATGGGCCGGCAGGGCTGTATCCAGTCTCCCTGGTAAGCAGAGACTCAAGAAAACCTCCGGGATCCTGCTTCTGGTCATATGGCCCAGGGAGGACCCTTGGGCATCTGTACAGAAGGGACTGGGAGGGAGGGCCGCACCCTGCAGTCTTGCTCTGCTGGTGTAGCAGGCAGCTCCCCACCCTAACCCCCACCGCGGGCTCCTGAGTCGGCAGATTAAGCATTTTATAAATTGTATTTTAAATACATGTTTTAAACTTGTCAGACATTTGTTCTCATTTCTGGCTTCCTATCTCCTTGTCCAGCCCTGAGGGTTCCTGTTCTTGCAGAGGCCAAGGTACTTGACAATCCCTCGTAGGGTTCCCATGACTGAGGGGAGAGACAAGGGCGGCTGCAGTAGGAGGCTCCAAGTCAGGGTTTCAATGAGTCCTGCCTCAGACTCAACCCTGGAAGCATGCTGGAGCTCTGCAGATGAAGTAGGGTTGTGAAAATGGGCATGCAGGTTTGGCGGGTGGCTTGCTTCACTGACATCCAATACAGAGGCTGAGGTTCTTGGTGTTTATTGGCTTACCAGGCCATGAAAGCAAACTCCCAATGCCAGGCCCTACCCCATGGCCTAGCTGTCTGTAGGCCTTGAACTTCTAGAGCCAGAGGATCAGTGGGTTCGGGCCGGCACGGAGTTAAGCCACTTTCTGCTGTCAGAGCTGTGTTCCCTGGGGAACAGAAGGGGGTGAAAAGGTAGGGAGCATTTGGCTCTCTTCCCATAAGTCCTGCCAGGTTTCTGAACCATGCCCATGGACTCAGGTAGAGTTTTCTAGAAGCATTGGAGCCGGAAGTTGGGATGGGGCCTGATGCCAAGTGCTGGAGACCTCCCCTTCTTCCCAGTTTCTTAAGCATCCCATAGTTCAGAGCAAAGCCAAGGGGTCTCATTGCTTGGTAAAGAGGGATCAATACCATCCTAAGAAGGATGGTTGGCATCACTGAGTCCCAGACCCAGGGATGCTTCATGCTCAGGCCTCTGTGAAATTGGTACCAGGCCCTGTCTATCCATCTGACCTTCCTGGAGCAAGCAGTTTCCCAACACAGTCTCTTAGAAAGATGGCTTCCCCAGTTACTAGGCCAAGGGCCTCCTCAAGAAAATGGATTAGCGCTAGAGACCCTGGCTGGTGCTCAGTACCTACCTGCTTGCTTGCTGTCCTGACTGGAAGAAGAAACCATGGATTTCAGGGCCCAGGCTTGTGGGAACACAGTGATCCAGCATAGAATGGTTATGGCTACCCTGCTTTCGACGGACTGTCTTCTTGTCCAGCCTCGGGCAGAGTGGGATGCAGGGCACCTGGGCATAGGGGCTCTGCAGATTGGCAGCTGGGGTAGGAAGGAGCAAGAGAGTTGAGAGCATGACCAGCTTGGTGGAATCCTAGACTTGCCACGTAAAAAGCAGAGTGGGTCTAGGCAGATCTGTTATTGTCTGCGTCTCTAAGATGGAGAGGATATTGGTACCCACTGCACAGGGTAGCTGGTGACTGGGATGATGTGTACAAGGCCCAAGGCTGAAAGCTGAGCATAAGTAAAGGCTGGCCATAGCTTAAAGAGAATGGGCGAGCACACAATTTGGGGATGGACCTAAGCATAAACTGCTCTTGCCAGCATACTAGCTGGGGTTCCCATTTCTGTCAAGTGGGGCCATTAGGCATGTCTACAAAGGACCTTGAACTGAAAGTGGTTCTGGTGGACTCTAACACAGTAGCTCTTGGCACAGGTAGGGCAGGAAGGTAGAGTTCAAAGCACTGGGTGTCTCCTGGTGTGGACCAGCCCTGTTTGGCAATGGTTCCCACACACCTCAGCCATGGGCTCCATCTTGGGGAACTTGGCCACGTGGAAAGAGATCTGCTAGGCAGCCCAGCCCACTCACTGACCCTCACCATAGTTCTGCTGCTTCAGCCGGCTCAGGATCCTGAGGACCCTTCGTTCTGGGACTTCTAAGTTGTCTGCTTGCTGAGGGTTGTAAGAGAGCTTCTTCCTTGAGCGCAGTGAGCTTATCGCCGATTCCATCTCTCGGGCTTTGGAGGAACCTTCCTTCAGCTTCTTCTGGTAGTAACTGAGGAGACATCTGGCAGCTCAGCCTGGTTGTGGGTAATTAACCACCTCCTCCTTCTGACCCCCTTGTTCTGGTTGGCCACTTGTGTCAGGGCTGAAGCCAGGGCATCAGGAGACCTATTCCCCTTAGGAAATAAGAGGAAATGGCCCTCTCTGCCTTGGCTCTGCATGTCACTTGACATCTGGTCTTCCCGTTGTCCCCCACTGCTATGATGGGGGCAGAATGAGCATAAGGATTATCACGTGTGAGACAACCCATCAGGCTCTTAGAGGGACCAGTCACAGAAAGATTGGTATGTATTACCCACCATTTCTGTTACTCATGTTTTTGTTTAGACACATTTCTGCTTATAAACCAGCCCTCTGAGACTTGGGGCAGCGGGGGTGGCTCAGTTGCTAGAGTACTTGCCTAGCATGCAGGAAGCCTTGGTAAACTGCTCAGCTGAGCTTGGTGCTACATGCCTGTAATCCTAGCACTCAGGAGGCAGATGTGGGAGGCTCAGAAGTCAAGTCATGCTTGGCTATAAGATAGGGTCAATTCTTCTAGGCCATCCTGGGATACATCAAGTCCTTGTCTCAAAACAACCAACCCAAGCGTGCAGCTGGCTCCATCTCTAAGCTGCGGCTTAGAGCCTGTGTCAGAAAGTCTTTCTTTGCATACTAGCCCGGCTCCCACGCTAAGCTTGCTGGCCTGCTTTTTATTTCTGTTTGCAGACAGGCCTTGGCTGTCCTAAAACTGGCTGTAGGCCAGGTTAGCCTCAAACTCATAGTGATCCTTTGACCTCTTGCCTCCTTAGTGCCGGCATTGCACGCACGAGCTGCCTTTCCCCGCTCAGTGTTGACCTTAATGCATCCCTTGCCTTTTCCCTTCTTGAGCGCTTACCTGTAGCTTCCGACTTGGGTGCCTGGGCAGTTTTGTCTGCCTGCCTGCTTCTAGTTCAACAATAACATGACCTGTCTGGTTTGAACTGTAGCCAAATGGAGGCCTGTTCCTTAACTGACATGCCCACTAGGTTTCTGCAGTCTCAGGAACCCTGTCTTCATTGTGTTATTTTTCAAGAAGCTTTGGTTTGTACAAACCAAACAAAGGAGGTGTACCCATGGAAAACAGCAGTGTTAACAGAGGGATGCCTAGTACCAGAACAGGACTGGAGACATGGCTTAGTGGTTAAGAACACTTCCTGCTCTTCCAGAGAATCCAAGTTCAGTTCCCAGTATTCACATCGGCTGGCTTAAAACTTCTTGTAATTCGAGCTACCGGGGACCTTTGCACACGCACACACAAACACACACGGAACTGCATCAGAAAAGGGCCCAAGCACACTACAGACAAAGACTACTAACAGCTAACAGCTATATGTGTTTTTGTTTTTTTTAAGATTTATTATGTATACTATGTGTGTTTGCATGTCTGTCCTTCTACATGCCAGAAGAGGTTGTGAGCCATCATGTGGTTGCTGGGAATTGAACTCATGACCTTTGGAAAAGTAGCCAGCGCTCTTAACCTCTGAGCCATCTCTCCAGCCCTGTTTTTGTTCTTGAGACAGTCTCATGTAGCCCAGGCTGGCTTCCAAGTTACAGCATAGCCAAGGATGGCCTTGAGCTCCTGGTCCTCCTACCTCCATTTCCACCTTACCTGCTGGAATTAGGAGGTGTATGCCACCATAACCAGTTCTAAAATCAACTCTATTTTTATCTTATGTGCATCGGTGTGTGATCGCGTGTGCTTCTGTGTGGAGATCTTGGAGCTCCTGGAGTTGAGTTACAGATGGTGATGAGCGGCGTTGTGGGTGCTAGGAATTGAACCCAGGTCCTCGGGGGGAACAGCCAGTGCTTTTAACTACTGAGCCATCTCTCCAGCCCCTAAAAGGAACTCTCTTGAAGACTCTTAAGAGACCCAAAGGATGAGAAGTTCAAGAAAATAATATGCTGGCTAGGTGGTGGTAGTGCACACCTTTAATCTCAGCACTCAGGAGACAGAGGCAGGTGGATCTCTGTGAGTTCCAGGCCATCCTAGTCTACAGAGTGAGCTTCAGGATAGGCAAGGCTACACAGAGAAACCCTGTCTTGAGAACAAACAAAAAAGAAAACATTGGGCTGAGGTGTAGTATGTGGGAAGGGCTTGCAAAGTAACAGGAAACTGTGAACCACATGGGAATATACCCTTAAGCTGGCATTTGTTTGGAGGCCACACTGTAGGAGTCAGTGAGCTTTATGGCTTGTGCTCATTTGCATTTAGGAAAGGGTATGTGTTGTGGGTGGGTGGTCGGCTGATTGAGTACTCCACTAGCACGGATGAGGGTCTGGGTCTGGCCCCCGCACCACACTAACCAACATGGTGGTATACACCTGTAAGCCTAGCACTCAACAGACAAGGAAAGAACATGGGAACTTCAAGGACATCCTCCACTATATATCAGGTTGGAGTCTAGCCTGAGCTACATGTACCCGTAGTGAAATTCGAATTTTTATTTTTCAAGACAAGAGTCTCACTATGCAGCCCCTGCAGGCCTGGAATACACTGTGTAGATCAGGCTGACCCCCAACTCACAGAGATCCACCTGCCTCTGCCCCGAGTACTGGGATTAAAAGCATGGGCTACCACATCTGCCAACTTAAAATGCTTGGCCTTTGGGAACTGGGCGTGGTGGAGTGAAGCTGGATCTCAGGTGCCAGGCCAGCTGAGATAACAAACCCTATCTCAAAAAAGGAAAAAAAAATAAAATAAAATAAAACTTTCACATCTTCCCTGAGGCTGAGGCTGCTTCCAGACTGGAGGTGTTTTCTAAAGGTCTCTGCTCTCTCAAGGAAAAACACCTGTGCAAATGAGCTGGCAGCTAAGCAGCCACCTTCCTTCCTTCCTTCCTTCCTTCCTTCCTTCCTTCCTTCCTTCCTTCCTTCCGTGGTTCACAGAAGGAACCACAGTTCCTTGCTGGAGCTCAATGACAGCTCAATGAGAGGGTGAAAGGGGAAGGGAGGGAGAGGGGGACAGCACAGGCTGTAATCAGAGAGGATTGCCACCCTGGGCTAGGAGACCCTGACTGAAGGGAGTGGGAGGAAGAACAATGGTTATTTATCCTCTGGTATTTGATACCTGTTTTCTCACAAAGGAGTGACCCGTGGCTGACCACTTCAGGCTCTGAGCCTGCTGAGATGTTTCATTCTAGTGCTGTAATCACAGCTGAAGCTTCCGAATGAGGAAGGGAACAGTGGGGTGCAGATTGGGAGAGAATCGTTGCCAGCCATACCTCTGACAAGGGAGTGACAGCTATAATATGTAAAGAACTCAAAAAGAACCAGAATCGAAAAAACAAACACCCAGTCAAAAACTGGCTAAGGATCTAACCAGAACTCTCAAAACATAACAACAACAAAAATGGCTCAGAAAGACTTCAGAATGTGTTTATCGTCCTTAGCAGTTAGGGAAATTTACTTCGAAACAACTTTGAGGTTTCATCTCAACCCTAGTCAGAATGGCAAAGATCAAGAAAACAGCTAACAGATGCGGGCGAGAATGTGGGGAAAGGAGAAACCTCACCCTCTGTTTCTCTGTTGGAGGGACTGCAAACTGGTGCAGCCGCTCTGGAAGTCAGTGTGGAGGATTCTTAAAAGGCTAAAAAATAGGTCTGCCGTATGACCCTGCAAGTATTAAAATATGCTCATTCCGGACAGGAAGTAGAGGGTGAGGCTCCTCTCCACACATCACTTTCAGCCTGAGGATGATCATGATGAATAGCCTATAGTCGACTCTTCCCGAGCTGCCCACTACCTTTCCTTCACTCTTCCTGGGGACTGAGCCACCCACTACCTGCTCATTGCCCTTCTGGAAACATGTAAGATTCCTTTCCTAAGCTGGTCACAGTGGCACACACCTGTAATCCCAGCACTCAGGGAGGCAGAGGCAGGTGGATCTCTGAGTTCCAGACCAGCCTGGTCTACAAAGCAAGTTCAGGACAGCCAAGGCTACACAGAGACCCTGTCTCAAAAAACAAAAACAACAAAGATTCCTTTTCTAAGACTGAGCTGTGCAAGGAAGGAAGGAGCTGTATGGGGGTGGGGGGTAGCTGCCATTGCCTCCCTTCCCACTGGGAGAACCTAGCTGAGTGTGAAGCCGGCACCCTGAGATACAAAGGTGGAGAAACAGAACTTTACTGGTATCTAGTCTAGATGCAGCCATTCCTGAAGCCTTGACTGATATTTGAATGATGCCTTCCTCCTCTGCTCAAGGCAGTTTTATCGGGGTTTTCTTAGCCTTGCAGCTGAGAGTCCTGACCCTCCAGTCTCCAGCTCCCAAGCACTAGCTGCCCTCTGTCCATCCATGTCCCCCACCTCAACAAAGCAGCCCCACTCACTTCGTGATCTCCTCAAGGGCCACCTCCGGCAGGGCCAGCATCTCCACCAGCAGAGAGAGGATCTCAAAGAACAGCGTGTAGGGGTTCAGAGGTGACATATCCATCAAGACATTCTGTTCTGTGGTCATGGAATAGTGGCTGCTGTTACTCTCCCATCAGCCTGCAGCTCCCATTTCCAGTTCTGACTGCCCTGGGCTGGCCCTGCTCACCCACAGAGTACAAGAAGCGCTTGGTATCTGTCATCACAGCCAAAAAATCTTTGAAATCCACATGACCATCTCCTGTAGAGTCAGAGAGATAACAAGGTGGCCCAGCGGCCCTCTGCAGCAGGCCTGGGGACAGCAGGCCCGGCATGGCCTTTGGTATTCCCCTGGGCAGACTCTAACAGTAATGCTGAATCAGCAGAAAATGTGGACCAGAGAAGCCAAAAATTAGTCTTCTGGGTTAGAAACTATTGGACCAGGACAGGGTTTGTAGCTAAGTTGGTAGAATGTTTGTCTAGCATGCACAATACCACATAAACCTGGAGGTGGAGGGAGAAAGGTTAATGTGTCAGGGCCATCCTTGGCTACATAGCCAGCTCCAGGCCAGCCTGGGCTCCACAAGACTCTGTTGAGGAATACAAGAAAGTACTGGACCTTGCATTGTTAAGACAGCAGTGTGAGTTCAAAACCCTTGAACACCACTTGCCACTTATGTGACCCAGGTCAAGTTTCTGAACCCCAGGAAGCTTTAGTTTCCTCACCTGCGGGGCAGAGACAGCCATCACAGGGCTGTCCAGAGCTCATGCGCACAATCTACCAACTGTCATTACTACTTGTTAGGTCTCTACCTGCTCCAGGATGTGGCTGGTATACCCTGCCCTAGCTCGGGGCGGGGCTTCCCCTTCACTGTATAATCCAGACATTTCAGTTCCTCAGGCCCCCTTTGCCCTTTCCCCTCTCTCTCCTGCTCTGCTCTCAATCTTTCTCTCTGCTCATACTTTTCCTATCTCCTCCCACCCCTCGATGCTCCTAATAAATCTCCTTTTATATAGCTTCTTCTTGCAGTCAGCTCATTCTGGTATTTAATGCCCTGCAGCAGGTAGGGAGCTAACTGCATGCTAGTCTCTGCATGAGAATATGTACCTTTGCATACATACTTTGCAGCCTCCTCCAGACCCCTGTCAGTAGCTTTATATCTTGCCAAGCTCCCTGGCAGTACAGCTGCTTTCCCAGCAGGCCACATTCTTCCCTGTTCAGGGTCTTCACATGTGCTGCTCAATGCCCCCACCTCCCATCATGTTTCCTTAGAGGTTCTATTATTGTTGTTGTTTTGTTTTGTTTTTTGAGATAGGGCCTCTCTGTGTAGTCCTGGCTGCACCACTGCCACCTGGCATAAAACTATGATTTTGTTGATTTTATGTGAGGGAAGGCTGCCTACCACAGCACAGGTATGGAGCTGAGAATCTGCCTTCTGGGAGTCGTGCTCGCCTTCCACCATGAACGTCCCAGGGATCAAACTCAGGTTGTCATGTTTGATGGCAAGCATCTTTACCAGCTAAGCTGTGTCACCTTCCCTTTAAGAGGTCCAAACCAGGTCAGCCCCCTCCCTAGACTGTCTCCTGAAGCCCCTGTCATACATGACACCTGGAACTTAGAAGAGACTCTGAGAGACAAGGGTCGTACATTTTGTCCTGTGCTATGTCCCTGGGCTCAAGCTGGTGGGAACTAGGTTGGCATTCTCTGAGCTGCTTGGCAGTGGACTCAGGCAGTCTCCAGTTCTTAAAGACGGGCGTGAGTGTGCTTAGGTCAGCTAGGGTTGAAGCCTGAACCTTTGACTTCCTAGGTCAACAGTCGACCACTTAGCCACAGCCCTTGAAGTGTGCCCTTGAAGTGTGTGTGTGTGAAAGCAGTCATGAGACTACTCAGGACTCTGGGCCTGCAATGGCCCTACCTTTTCCTTGGCTGAGACCACACCCTGCCATTTGCTCATCGCTTGGAGACTACTTCCTCTTTTCCCTGACACCACTCGGCCACTTCCTCATCCAGGAAGCCTTCCTTCCTGACCCCCATCTTCCAAGCTGTCGTAACTGATGTTTCCAGTTCTGTGCCAATCCTTGCCCTGTGGCATTAACTGTCTGGAAACCCCTTGAGGACAGCAGGGCTGGTGTCTTACACGCCTCTATTCTTGGTGCCCTGCACAGGACCGCCCACAGAAGCCATTGCGTATTTGTTGCATGGATGATGCTGGTAGCTGTTGTGGGTGGGTTGTGCCCTGACCCACCCTTTGCCTGGCTCACCCATTTTTTTCTTCCAGAACATGATGAGGTTGCTACTATCAGCTCCATTATATAGACAGAGAAACTGAGGCCTAGCAAACTGCTAGTCTTGACCAAAGCCATAAGGCTGGTTAAAGAAATGCCAAAATCACTGGGCAAGCCTTCACTCCCAGCGCTCAGGCAAGGCACAGGCAAGGCAGATCTCTGGGTTCGAGGCCGGCTTGGTCGATAGAGTAGGTTCCAGGACAGCCAGGGCTACACAGAGAAACCCTGTCTCACAAAAACAAAACAAAAACAAAAGAAATGTAAGGGTCACGGAGGAAGACTTAATAGGCAGAGCCTGAGGGGAAGGATTCCTGAGGTCACCTACACCATTGGTGAGGAGGCAGGTCCTGGTCACTTCTGGGTCCCCAGAAGGTGGCGCCGCTGCACAGTGGTTCAGGCAGCATTAGCGACAGACTGTGAGACCCAGGGCGGAAGGAAACCGCCAGACAAAATGGGTTCAGATGTTAGGTACACTAGACTCTCACCCAGAGCTTTAAGCCAAGCGGGGTTCCTTCCAGCAAGGCGCCCACTGGGCTTACCGGGCCTCGTGCAGGGGCAGCCCCTCCCAGGGGCTCAGGGAAGACCCCCCCCCACAGACTCACCATTTACATCTGCACTCATCAGGGCTTCTTCCAGCTGCGCCGGAGTAAGGTTGAGGCCAATTAGAAGCAAGACGTTCTTGAGGCTCCTCGCGTCCACCTCACCAGAGCCATTGAAGAGGTCAAAGTAGCTGCGGAAGGCTGTCCAGGGAGGCAGGGTCACCAAGTGGGAGCCGCCTGCGTTTCATTTCTTTTTGTAACTTTTTTGCTGGCATGTGGTGTGCCTGTGTGGTGGGCTTGGTGCACGCATGCACGTGCATGTTAGGAGGAGAACGTAGGTATCTAGCTTTATTACTCTTTGCTTTATTCCTATGGGTCAGTGAAAACATTCTGAAAATCTGTGGATGGGAGCCGCTGTGGTCAGAAGGGGCTAGACCTTAAGGAGGAGTGGGAGGTGAGAAGGTACACATCCATTCTTTTCCTGCCTGCTCAACATAAGTGACTAGGATCAGGGGTTGTCCCCAAGGTGCACAGAGACCTCACCCAGGGTGGGAGTTGCACTTTTCAGTTTTATTGGCAGGGTAGGGTGTGATGGGAAATAGGGACCTATTAAGGGCTGATGACCCAGTTAAATAGAGGTGGGTAGGGCTCTTGGGGGACCCTGCCTCCCCTCCAAGCTTCCTCTAAAGAGGATTGTGGGGGGCAGGGAGGTGGCTCACCTCCTGTGTCCTAGGCCAAGTATAGTTGGCCCCATGGGGACACTGCTTGGTATGGTGGGACAGTGGGTCAGGGGGCAGCAGGTGTGGGACAGCAGGTCAGGGGGCAGCGCTGTGGCACAGCGGTTTAGGGGGTAGTGGTATGAGGTGCTCACCTTCCTCCTGCTTCAGGGTGAGGTGTTCCTCACTTCGCTCCTCCCAGCTTTGATAGAGTTTGTAGAGGCCATGCTCTTCCAGCTCCTGCCTGCAGGACAATGGGCCCAGGACAGCTTGCAACCATCTCTTGCCTGCCTCTGCTCCTGCTCCTGCCAAGGCTACCCTAGAGCTACCCTGAAGGACTCTGGGGTGTCAAGAAACCACAAGTGACAGGAAGAGACAGACCCAAAGGAGTGAAACAGAGGAGCCACAGGAGTTCTCATTGGTGGTGGTGACGGAGGGGGCGCTGGAGTGCAGAGCAGGGATAGAGTACTTGCCTAGTATGTGTGAGTCCCTGCCTTCCGCCCCCAGCATCAGAAAGGAGATGGTAGAGAAGAGTGGAAAGGGGACAAGAACTTGGAGGACACCCTGCTGGGAAGCACAGAAAGGAGACAGAGGTGGGGGGGGGGGCTCCTGAGCGAATGAGCAGGGGTAGGGACAAGGACCAGAGTGCAGAAGGGAGATGCATGGGTCCACACTGGAAGCAGACTGAAAGCACGGGGCCTGTCAAGATGGCGACCAGTGGAGATGGTTCCTACCGTGACTTGACAAAGTTGAGGTTCCTCTCGTTGCTCTGGGGCAAGATCTCTGGCCATCTCCAGCTCAGATCCTGGGTGGGAAGTGACAGAACTGAGCCAGGGGACCCCCCGGAGGCAGGGGCTTGCCCGGGGCCTGTTGTTCTGACCCATGGTGCCATAGTAGCTGGAACTGAGTTGGAGGGCTCATTCAGGGTCAGAGGTAAGGATGGAACTGAGCTGTTGGCGGAGCCTGAGGTGGACACAGAAGTGAGGTTCTTGGAGGACTTCCGGGTTGTCAGGGTCCGAGTCTTCAAAGTCCTCCTGTGGGTGGCTTCCTCCTGTTCCTCCACCTCCAGTAGGCACTTCATGAAACCCCGCCGATGGTTCCCAGGGCCGTGGGTGCCTACAGCCGCCAAAGCCTGATGCCGTTGCTTCTGCCCTTGGGTCAGCTCCTTCTTCTCAAGGTCTCTCACCTCCTGAGGGAACAGGAGCGCACCTGGGATACCTCCAGCCGGGCAGACTGGCCTGCAGAGGACCTTCTAGCCTCCCACAGAACCTCGGGGGATGCTGCTCAAACTGCCCTTTCCTCTCCAAAGTCCAACCTCTAAATCTCAACATACCATTCCAGGACCCACCCAGCGTGCTGGCCTGTGAGTGACTCGCCACCTCCCGCCCACAAGCCATGTTCCTGAGTGAGCCAAGGTCCTGCTTCACAGCCCACACAGCTCCAAGTGACCTCGCCTCACTCCAGAGGCCTGTTTCATACAGGCCCGCACAGAATGGCCACTTCAAATACTGTTTCTCGTTCATTCCATAGACCCAGCCATGCCTACATCTGGTCCCTCCCATCCCTGGCTGAGGCTGGGAAGCTTGCTGGTCAACGTTCTTTTCCTGGTGTTAAGGATCAAACCCAAGGCCTCACTGATGGCAGGGACGCTGGCACCTCTGAAGTGGGTCCCTAGCGCTGTCCTCACGCCCCTAATAGCCTGTAACTCCAGTTCTAGGGGCCCTGTCACCCTCTTCTGGCCTCCTTGAGAGCTGCACGCATGTGGTGCACGGCCAAACATGCGAACAGACATCCCATTACCACCACCACACCACCAAAAAAAGTACTACAAAGACAACACAAACAGGGTGATTATGATAGAGTACCTATGGCAGACAGGACACCTGAGCAGCTCAGGGAAAAGCTTTGCTGAGCGACATTTAAGTTGCAGCCTAAGTGACTTCATGGAGTTAGCCATGACAGCATCTCTGGGGAGACAGTCTAGCCTAGGGGGCAGCATGTACAGAGGTCCAGGGGAAATAAGCTTGGCGAATCTACAGGATAGAAATCTCACCAGAGTAGCTAGACACTAAGCCTTGTGTGTTTGGTGAAGATTCGGGGTCTTATTCTACAAGGAAGGAGCTCAGACTGGGTGACAGGGTGGGGAGGGGTCGGACTCAGAATGGCTTTGTAGGGCAGGGAGGGGTTATGGAGGGATAAGAGGAATCAGGAGTGATTCTGAGCTCACTCGGATGAGCCTCTGGGTGGGTGGTTACGGGGTCCTTTGATGATAAGCTGGGACCATCTGAGCTTGGACCATCAACTCAGAGACCAGGAAGTGGCAGAGCTCGTGGTGTGGACATGGCTGGAAGCCAGCAAATGTTTGGAGGAGCTGTGGGTTGGAACTGAGAGCAAAGGGCAGAAGAAATCTACACGGATGTGGAGCAGTCCTGAGACCGACCCAAGGGCTCCAGCGTGTCATCCCATTTCTGACTCAAGAGGCAGAAACACTGGGCCTAGCAGCACACACAAAATCCAGACAGGTCAGAATTTTGAGGTCATTCTCAGGCAGTTCTCTAGGGAGTTCTAGGCCAGCCTGGGCTACATGAGACCCAGGCTCATGTTGGAAAAACCCAAAACTTGACTTCAAGATGGCTCAGCAGGTGGAGGCACTTGCCACTAACCCTGAGTTTGAGCCCCAGGGCCCACACTGTGGAAGGAGAGAACCTCCACCCCTGTGCCAGGGGATGTGTGTGGCACTTCTGTACACACAATAGTATGTGTAACTTAGAAAATAATTAAAGCTGGGCGAAGCAGCCAGTGGCTTTCATCCCAGCACTCAAGAGGTAGACACAGGTGCATCTCTGTGAGTTCACGGCCATCCTGGTCTACAGAGCAAGTTCCAGGACAGCTAGGGCTGTTACATAGAGAAGCCATGTATCAAACAACCAAAAATTAAATTAATAAATGCATGCATTCAGGGAGGCAGAGGCAGGTGCATCTCTGTGAGTTCGAGGCCAGCCTGTTCTACAGAGTGAGTTCCAGGACAGTCAGGGCTACATGGAGAAACCTTGTCTCAAAAATAAGCAAATAAATAAATAAGAATTAAAAAAGAATGAACTATAAAGAAAACACACACACAGAACATGGATAGGCTTATTACACTCACATCTTCCCCAGCTTGATTGGTCTCCCTTATTCCCCTCCCGCTATCCCCCGTCCCCACGCTGGCCCTACTTACTGTAAAAGGGAGAGGCCTTGGCGTCGCCTTGGTCTCCACAGCCTCACTTCTAAACAGAGAAGAAACGGGAGTACTGGGGCGGGGTGGCAGGCCAGCCAGCGCCCCTTACACTGATCCCAAACTGTAGCACACTCAGTCCTGACCTAACCTCACTCCTTTGTTTTCACCTGTGCCCCCTCCTCACCTCACTCACACATACAGACCCACAGACCAAAGATGGGAAAAACTGATGCCAAGCAGCAGGAGACTCACCCAAAGGGCTCCGGTGGGCCAGAAACACAGAACACCTCACTGTATTAGATTTGTGGCTTTTTGTTTTGTTTTGCTTTTTTGAGACAAAGTTTCTTTGTGTAACAGTCCTGACTGTCCTGGAACTCAGAGATCCGCCTGCCTCTGCCTCCTGAGTGCCCGGATTAAAGGGACAGGCCTCCACTGCCCTACTTATTTGTAATTTTTTTTTAATTACATTTGTTTATTCCTTTTGTGTTAGCACAGACATCAGAAGACAATTTGTGGGAGTCAGTTCCCCCATCTACTATGTGAGTCTCCACACTTGATGGCCAGAACCTTTACCTGCTGAGCCAAATCACTGGCCCAGTTGTCATTGTGTGTGTGTGTGTGTGTGTGTGTGTGTGTGTGTGTGTGTGTGTGCATGCGCACGCACATGTGTTCCACAGTACAAGTATGGAGGTCAGAGGACAGCTAGCACAAGTCAGATCTCTCCTTATACTGTGTGAGTCCCCAAGGTTGAGTTTAAGTCTTTAGGTTGTCTGCAAGCACCCTTACCCAATGAACCACCTCTTCTGTCTCTGTTTGGTCTTTCATTGGCCTGGAACTGGCTAGACCAGCTGGCCATCCATGGTCGCAGGATCCATGCACTTCCATCTCCCTAGTGCTGGGATTACAAGCACACGCCACTCTGTGCCCAGCTCTTTACATGGGCAATTAATCTCAGCTCCTCACGCTTACACAGTAAGTACTTTGACTTAGCTAATGCCCTCGAGTTTCCTCTAGTGTTAAAGAACCACCCTTAGGGGCAGGGAGCAGGGCAAGGGTGGCCCTGGAGGATGACTTACCTGTCTTTGTGTATTCGAGATCCTGGCACAGATTGCAAGAGGGGAAGGGCCTTCTTTTCCTGTGCAGTCGCCACGGGCTTGGGGGACACTGGCTCCAGGGGGCTGTCCTTGTGTGTCCCTGAGCTGGGTACTGGCATAGGCTCCTGAAGCCTGACCTGTAGGAGGCCTGCTTCACTGGGAGGCTCGTCCACCTGGGCCTGACTCCCGTTGTCCAGGGTGCATGCTGTCTCCAGACCATGGTCTGTGTTTCCCTGAGTGGGGAGAATGAGAGTCTGGGAAATGAAGACGGATGTCCTGAGAAGAGCTATTGTCTGATTTCCCAAGGGGAGTTTCAGAGGACAGGACCCCACACACTCCTGTTCTATGGCAGACATTAATTTTTTTTCTAAAGACTTATTTTTATTTATGTGTATGTGTGGGTCTATGTGTATATGTGTGTGTGTAATAATATATGTGTATGTATTATGTGTATTTTGTATCTTTGGTTGTTTTTATTATCTTCTTGCTTTGAAACAGGGTTTCTCTGTGTAGCCCTGGCTGTCCTGAAACTCGCTCTGTAGACCAGGATAGCCTCAGTCTCACAGAGATCTGCCTGCCTCCACTTTCCATCCAGAGTGCTGGGGTCAAGGGTATGTGTCACCACCACGCCCAGCCCTGGTGTATATTCTTTCCGTCTGTTTTCTTTCCGTCTGTGTAGTTACCCTTGTCTCTTATCAGGTCTTTCAGAGCCTTCTTCCTGTCTGTTGCCGAACGGGATTCGATCTCATGGATATCTGAATGGCTTCCTAGTTTTGATTATGGGTCACACATCTATAACTGTTGATATCCACGTGGATACTGATATCCCTATGAATAATGATCTCTGGATGGATATTTGATTTCATTTCTCTCAGGTAAATACCTAGGCATGTGTGCTGGATTAGTTTTATGTCAACTTGACACAAGCTAAAGCCATCTGAGAGGAGGGAACCTTAGTCAAGAAACTTCCTCCAGAGGGCTGGAGAGATGGTTAAGAGGTTAAGAGCACTGGCTGCTCTTCTGAGTTCTGAGTTTAATTCCCAGCAACCATATGGTGGCTCACAACCATCTATAATGAGATCTAGTGCCCTCTTCTGGCATGCAATTGTACATTCAGGCAGAACACTATATACATAATAAAATAAATCTTTTTTTTTTAAATGCCTCCATAAGATTGGTCTGTAGGCAAATCATTTTAATTAAATGATTGATGGGGTGGGGATGGGACACTGTGGGTGGTGCCATCCCTGGGCTGGTGGCATTCTACAAGAAAGCAGACTAAGCAAGCCAGTAAGCAGCACCCCTCCATGGCCTCTGCCTCAGCTCCTGCTTCCAGGTTCCTGCCCTGTTTGATTTCCTGCCCTGACTTCCTTCAGTGATGGACTATGATGGGGAAGCATAAGCCAAATAACCCCTTTCCTCATCAACTTGCTTTTGGGCATGGTGATTCATCACAAGAGAAACCCTAAGAGAGCAGAACAGCTCTCGTGTTGCATGTATCTTCAGCTCATTAGGAAACTAACGAGTTGCCAGGTGATGGTGGCACACGCCTTGGATCCCAGCACTTAGGAGGCAGATTGCTGTGAGTTCGAGGCCAGCCTGGTCTACAGAGTGAGTACCAGGACAGCCAGGGCTACACAGAAAACCCTGTCTTGACAAACTAAAACAAACAAACAAAAAAGAAAGTGCCAAGTAATCTAGGCATGGTGGCCCATACCTTTGATCCCAGCACTCAGGAGGCTGAGGCAGGTAGATCTTTGTGAGTTCAAGGCCAGCCTGGTCTACATAGCAAGTGCTAGGCTAGTCTAGTAAGACTTTGTCTTAAAAAAAAAAAAAAAGTGATGCTGATTTGGGAGTAGCCTATGATGATATGATGAAAAACCAAGAATGCATGCCTTTAACTCCAGCACTCGGGAGACAGAGGCTGGCAGGTCTCTGTGAATTCTAGGTCAGCCTGCTCTACAGCACAAGTTCCAGAACAGCCAGAGCTGCACAGAGAAATTCTGTCTTGAAAAAAACCAAAGGAAAAAAGAAAATCCAAGAATGTTATGTTGGGCTGTGTTACATTATTTTCTTTTGTAAATGAATGTAGAAATGAGAAAAATAAAGGAATAAATAAAAATAAATGAAAAAATGAGTAACTGTTCCAGTTAAATACATTTTGAAAAGACCAGCATGCCTTGCAAAGGCTCGGTGACCACAGGGGTAATGTGGGACATGAGGACAGACAGACAGACAGACACACACACACACACACACACACAAACATGGATGGACAGACAGGGACACACAGCCACTTTCTTAAACCCAACACCTCCCAACTTTATCCATCACAGCATCCACATTCCTGCCCTGTCCCCAGGACATCCGGAGGGGCCTTTCTGTAAACAAGACCTGAAGAACCCTGGGATTACAACCTCCAGAACCCCCAGTTACCCACAGAGCCTAAGCCGTGTCCAGTGTCGGCGTCCAGCAAACACAAGCATACCTCTGCCAAGGGCACGGGGGGCTCTTTTGCGCCCCAGTGTCCTGGGATAACCTGGCAGCTCCGGGAGGGATGAATCTCTTGGGCCTCGGCACTCTGCAGATCCTCCTGCTGGTCCACGGCTGGCTCTGGCTGCCCTTCAGGGGTCACACAGTCCCCGCTAGGCTGGGCTTGTTCCTCGCCAGCTTGCAGCTCCATCGACCCTTCCTGGGTTGCCAGAGGTGACTGATTCCTTGTGGGAAGAACAGATGGAAGACCCTTCAACCCCAGCCTGGGTGTTGCTCTCTCAGAATGCCTGCCAGGACTAGGCATGCCTGCGGGGAACAAAAGCACACTCCAAGTGTCAGGCACTTTGGTGTGGATGTGGAGGTGGTCAGAGTTTCACCCTTTTGGCGTCATTTGTTTTTCAGACAGAGAAGGGGTGTGTGCTGGTGGTACACACCTGGAACCAGTAGTTACGAGGTGGAGAGGGGAAGGGCAGGAGTTGAAGATCAGTCTCAGTCTCGCAGTAAGTTCAAAGCCAGCCTGGGCTGCAAGAGATTCTGTGTTGCCTTTTTCACATCTACCCACAGATAGAGACTTTATGTTGGGCTGGAGAGAGTTCAATTGCTACAATACTTGCCTGGTAGGAACAAGGCCCTGGATTTAATTGCCAGTAATATTCACGTGTGCTTGTTTGCATTCATGTACACATACACACACTCACATATATGCACATACACACACAAGCACCCACGTGCACCCAGGCATGCTTACACACATACACACACCAAACACCAAAACACCAGAAAAAACAGAAAGAACCAGGATTCAGAAAAGCTGAGAGAGGGAAGCCCAGGGTTCTAAGGCTAACAGTGTCGGTCGTGGGGATTTGTAACTATGTATCTCTATCCTCTCTTTAATCTGGAGCGTCTCCTTTTCACCGCCCCCTTGCTCCCTCCTTCCTTCCTTCTTTAGACAGGCTTTTGCTCTGTAGCCCAGGCTACCTCAAACTACGAGCCCTGCCTGAGCCTCCTCTGTGCTGGGAGATCACAGGCATGTGCCACCATGCTCTGCTGGGGCTTTCTTTTTAAGGCCCTTTCTTGTGAATGACTGACAGTTAGTGGGGATCTCTTAAATCACTGTCTTCAAATGATTTCAAATTTTACATATCATATTGCATGATTAACATGCTAAAAAGACTTCATTCCCGTGCTTTCCTTTTTATATTTTCTTTAGTGTACATTTATTGTAATGGGTTTTGTTATGCCATCTATGTATGGACATAAAATATTTTGATCACATTTACCCCTCATTACCTTCTTTTGCCCCTTTCTACTCCCTCTGACACCCTCCTCTTCTCAACTGGTCCCCCTTTTCATTTCATATCTGTGTTTAGTTTATGACTCAGTGAGTCTCATGGGGGTTGCTGACAGGAGGAACACAGGGAGGTATTTACAGACACACAGGGAGGTATTTACAGATACACAGGCATCTTACCAGTGGACTGTATAACTGCAGAAATGTTCTCTGGCCCCTAGCAACCAAGCACTACCTAAGGTCCTCAGGAGGAGTGGGGCCTCATGAGCCCCTCCTTCCTTCAATAAACCCTGTCTCAAAAAAAAAAAAAAAAAAAAACTGAATAAGATAAAATAAAATTCTATTTCCTAGCTAGGTGTGGTGACTCACACCTTTAAATCCCAGCACTTGGGAGGCAGAGGTAGGTGAATCTCTGAGTTTGAGGCTAGCCTGGGTTTACACAGAGAGCTCAGGACAGAGCTATATAATATAAGGAGCTTGGGTGGGGATGGGTAGGCAAGGAGGCCAGTAGGTTCACATGGCTCAGTGTGCATATGGAGGTCAGAGGACAACTTTCAGGAAGTAGCTCTCTCCTCCTATCCTATAACCCTTGGGGACTGAACCTTTACCCATCAAGACATCTCACTGGCCCTACGGTGTAAGTTTGTGTAAGATGGCCTGGAACTCTCTATGTAGCCGAGGCTAGCCTTGGATTACCGATCCTTCCACCTCCACCCTTCAAATGCTGGGATTGTAGGAGGCATGTGCCTCTAAGCCTGGCCCATTGACATCTTTTTGTTGTTGTTCATTATTCTATTGATTTAGTGAATAAATGTTTCTTGAGTACCTATTATGTATGTGCCAGGGCTGGTACCAGGCAGGAGGCATCTGAAGCTGGACAAGCAACAAACACCCCTTAAATAAGTCTTATGGGAGAATGTAACCAGAGTTTGCTACTTTATGGGTTCCTTATTTTTTTTTTTCCACCGTTCTCCACCACTTTTCTTCCACCCTTTCAATCCCCTAACACTCAATAAGAGAGAAAAAAGCCTAGAGAGGGATGGAAAGGGATCCCTGAATAGAGTCAGGGGTTGGAAAAGGGTGATGTTATCATTAGACTACTTCCTGCTGATTAGGGGCAACGAGTTCCTTGGGGCAAGTTTGAGCTTCCTCATCAGGATATCTGATATTTTCTTGTTTCTTCTTTGCATACAACTACTTAACAAACCACAACCAAAGCAAACAGCAAGCAGCAACCAACAACAAACCCACAACCCCCCTGGATGACCAACAGTCACCCACCCCACCTATCTAAATGGGCTTTAGCATTTCTATACCTTTTGAAAATATCCCAGAATTCCAAACATCACACAGTCTATCTGCAGCTAGCCTCTACAGCACATCTCTGCTAGAGCTTGAGTTAAATCACAGTCACCTGCTACAAAACAGCCCCAAATGCCCACACCTGGGATTAAAACAAAAACACATTCTTATACTATTTCTTTTTCTTTTCTTTTGGTTTTTCAAGACAGGGTTTTTCTGTGTAATAAGCCCTAGCTGTCCTGGACTCACTTTGTTGTCTGGGCTGGCCTCTGCCTCCTGAGTGCTGTGATTAAAGTAGTTACCACCACACTAGATCACGTTATAGATGGTTGTGAGCCACCATGTGGTTGCTGGGAATTGAACTCAGGACCTTTGGAAAAGCAACCAGTGCTCTTAACCGCTGAGCCATCTCTCCAGGCCCCTATTTCTATGGTTTGTTTGTTTGTTTTTTGTTGTTGTTTTTTAAAGAAACCCAAACTCCAAAATTCTCATTACAGAAGTAGGCTGTGGCCTGGCAGAAGTACACAAAGGGTGAGTAGAAAGAATTTAGTTTGGTTGATGCTCTGAAATGGGTCAAGGGTACAGATGAGTGAGGGAGTGCTTTCCAAGCTGCCATCTGCAAGGCTCCGGGCTTGATCCTCAGCTGGGGTGGGGGTGGACGGGGGGGGGGCGGGGGGGGGAGAAGGGAGAACAGCAGAGAGTGTTGCCTTAGGCTGGAGGCTCTCCTTCCTCTCCACATCCTCCCCCGCCCCCTGCAACTCACCCTGGTCCTGCCTCTGAGGGCTTCTCTGAGGGCTCCTCCGTCTGAAGCTCCCCTGAGCACTCCTGGGGTGATCCTGTGTGTTGGGGCTCCCTCTCTGGTCTCCTGGAAGCTACAGGCTGCTCTCTGCTGTCCTTCTCTGTGGCATCGGCAAGCCCAGCCTGAAACAGAGATGGGATGAGTCTGACCTTGAGCCAGGCCAAGAGGCCCTCTTCCTGCTCCTCCTTGCCCATCCTCCTGTCCTCCCCTCTCTGCTGGGGAGGCACTGAAGAGAGGTGAAGAGAAAGACCAGGAGGTGGCCTGGAGGTAGGTGGTGGGCCTCGCCCCGCTGCTTAGCATTATGGTCTGTGGCATAAAACCGGAGGTCAACCAGAACATGAGCCAAAGGACTGTCTTGAGAGTTGTTTGGGAGAATGGTGGTGGGCGAGGACCAATGCCTTCCACAGTAGCATCCCTCCAGAGCCCAGCTGATGGATACTTTAGCTCTCTGAGACAATGAGATATATGGCCTAAACTGGCCTTGAACTTGACATCCTTCTGTCTCAGCCTGAATCCTGAGGTTACTGGTGTGTGCCACTATGTCCCACCCCTGGATTTTTAATCTTTAATCTCCATCTTGGCCATCAGTTGCCAGTAGGGTGAACCTTAAGCCAACGTAGCTCCTCAGAAGACAGAGGACATCATGTACCTCATTAACTAATGGATGAAGTTGTTTCAACAAAAGATTCTCATGGAAGCCAACTCTAGAAGGCACCTACTACAAAGCAGGGCCTCAACAGACTTAACCAGTCAGTCCTTATCATGACACACACACACACACACACACACACACACACACACACATACACACACACACACAGGGCTGAAAGGGCTACAGAGATGCCTCAAGGACACAGAGCTAATTAAGGAGCAGGATTGGTACCCCATGTCTGCTTGCTGAGAAAATGAATGAAAGGTGGAAAAGGAGGCAGCTCAGAATGTTTGTCCAGAGCTCCTCAAGCAGACTCTTGGCACTGTGAAATGACCCCCACGGACTAACATATTGAGGTTGGTGTGAGGAAAGCACCTGGGTCACGAGGGCTCTGCCTCCCCCAACCGATTCATATCTTCTGCAATAGATCTATGGTGGCTTTGTTGGGAGAAGCTGGGATGATCTGGCCTAGGACAATGTTTGGGTATCAGGCTGACAGAGGTGACTCATGGCCAGCCTCAGTTGTCAACTTGATTGGATTAAGAAATTCCTGGGGGCTGGATATGTGGCACACACCTTTAATCCCAGTACCCAAAAGGCAGAGGCAGGTAGATCTCTGAGTTCGAGGCCTGCTTGGTCTACAGAGTACGTTCCAGGACAGCCAGGGCTACACAGAGAAACCCTGCCTCGAAAAAACAAATACACACAGGCAGGAAGACACCACGCTAGAAATGACGTTGAGGACCAAAGTGAAGGTCCGCTCACCTGATTGGCTGACATGGTGGGCTCCGAATTGGGCTCCGCATCAGCCTCCGTTTTGGTGGAACTCAGGCCAGGACTTGATGGGACCGCTGGAGCCTCTGCCTTGTTCTCTGGGGGTGTGGGGGTGTCTTCGTTTTCCATTGTTCTGAAGTCGGCAAGATTCCCAAGGCGAGGGGCGCATCAGCTGCTGTTACCAAGGAGAAATCCAGTCATGCTCCCACCAGGCCTGAGACCCCATTGCTGCGGCTGCCGCGCACCTGAAGTCTGGCCAGAGCAGGTGTGGGATCAGGGGAGAAGCTGGGCTAGGCTGGCAAGGAGCCTGAGCCTAACGAGTAGCTCACCCTACGTAGCAAGAGCTCTTCTGACTCTTTAATTTTCACAATGAACCTGTGAAAGAGACTCAGGTGAGCTGCCCAAGGTTCAGAGTAGGCCCAGACCCATGGCTGGTGCAAACCACAGGGCTCTGCCTCTTCACCGCAATGCAACCCTGCTCCACCCTCAAGGCCTGCCTGAGGGTCTAGGGGAAATGGGATGCTGGCCTCATCCAAATGAAGCAGATAGGGCCTTACAGGACATCTCAGAGCCTTTAGAGCACCATTGTACATTTAAAAGGGAGTCTATCAGGAGATGGGGTGTCGCTAAACCGATTGCCCACTGCACACAATCGCCGCACAAGACCAAGTATGGTGGCCCAGGCCTAAGTTCCCAGGAAGTAGAAGCAGGACGATCAAGAGTTCAAGGTCATCCTAGGCTATATTGTGATTTTGAAGCCAGCCTGGACTACGTGAGACGAGAGTAAGAGCCAGAGAGAGACAGAGACAGACAGAGGCAATGATGTAAATGTTGCTTCAGTGAAAACCTTATGCTCTTTAAACAGCTGAGGCACAGGGCTTGGGGACATTTGTCTTTTGGTCCTGGGAGTCCAAGTCTCCAGTGGCCATGGTAACTACCAAAGCACCCACATACCCTGCCCTGGAATGCTCTTTTATTAATCTTCCTCAGGGTCTGTGGTGGTTTGGGTAGGAAGGGCCCCATAGGCTCATCTTATATTTGAATGTTTAGTCACCCAGGAGTGGCACTATTTGAAAGGATTAGAAGGATTAGGAAGTGTGGCCTTGTTGGAGAATGTGTTTCACTGGGCATGGGCTTTGAGGTTTCAGGAGTCCATGCCAGGCCCAGAGGCTGTCTCTCTTTCTCTCTCTCTCAGCTATTGCTCCAGCACCTGCCCACATGCCACCATGCTGATAGTGGACTAAACCTCTGAAACTGTTGGCAAGCCCCCAATTAAATGCTTTCCTTTATAAGCGCTGTCTCCATCACTGTGTCTCCTTACAGCAATAGAAGAGTGACTAAGACAGGAAGACAGGGCATCTCCTTTTTCCTGTCCTCTGGAACCTCACTTCCATCTGTATCACAGGGCAGGACCCAAATGTTCTGTTCCAGTGCAAGCGGCCTCCTGTTCTTTCCCCCCAAGGCCTATGTCCACATCTCTGCTTTTCTAGAATCCTGACTTCATCCATGTTTCCAGTCACTGAGTCCTGTGTGTGTGTGTGTGTGTATGCATATGTGAGTCCTGTGTGTGTATGTGTGTGTGTGTAGGCCTGAAGATTATCTCAGCTGGTGTTCTGTTTAAGACAGGGTCTCTCATTGGCTTTGACCTTGCCAGGTAAGATAGAGCTAGACTGGCTGGCCAGGGAGCCTCACGGGTCTGCCTGCTCTGCTGCTGCAAGCAAGGGCAATCCAAGTGCATAGGACTTATGCCTGCCTTTATTTGCTGCTGCTTAAGGTTTATTCATTTTTAATTTACATGTATGTGTATGCACCTGTGTGAGCTTACGGTGCCTGTGTGCATGCAGGCTCCCAGGGAGGGCAAAGGCTGTCAGATCTCCTGGAACTGGAATGACAGATGGCTGTGTCCACCATGTGGGTGCTGGGTACCCAGGTCCTCAGCAAGAAGAGACAGTGCTCTAACCACTAAGCCATCTCATGCCTCCTCAATATCCGCAGCCTTCCCCCCCCCCCCAACACACACACTTCAAGAAAAACAAAACAAAACAGAACCGGCCACAGTGGTACATGCCTGTAATCCCAGCACTCAGGGAGGCAGAGGCAGGTGGATCCCTGTGAGTTCAGGGCCAGCCTGGTCTAGAGAGAGTCTAGGACAGCCATGGCTACAGAGAAACCCTGTTTCAAAAAAAAAAATCAAAACTAAACCGAAACAAGAGAAACAAAACAGAACAGGGGTTCTGGTAGCTGAACTCGGGTCTTCATGCTTACAAAGCTATTTACTCCCCGACCCAGGCTCCTTTAGGGCATCACCTGCCCTGCTTCTATGGTGGCATCTTGGCTGCTTTCCACACTCACTGGTTCTCACAGTTCAATACCCCATCCCCGAATCCCTCCGGGGAGAGAGCCTGTGACCTGAAGGATCTCAGCGGCCTTTTCCTTTCTAAGCCACAGCAGGCAGGCTACTGTCCATGGAACGGCCTCCTCTCTGCTGGAAGTTCTTGAGCTGTATTCTCCTCACACCCTGTGAGCTATGGACTCGGCCCTTCCTGTCCAATAGAAAACCAAACAGTACTCAGTCGACTAACGTCTTGCCCAACGCATGTGGCTCATCTCCCAGGGACTGGATTCCAACCCCATATCTGTTCAGCTCCCCAGGTGGCGCTGGGTTGTCCTACCACTTGGAAGCCTGAGCCACTTATTCACCATTTAGGGCCAAGCAGCTGCATCACTCATGTGCCAGGTCTTGGGGTCCTCCTGGTTGGCTCCCTCTCCCCAGGGATGCAGAGGATATGTCCCTAATCATTTCTGCTGACCTACACCCACTTCTCTACTGTTGTCTCTACTGCCTCCGAACAGTAAGCCAGATGGCAGGCCTCTGATCCCAGCTGGCGGGACGTGCCCGGCCCCCCTGCCCCCCCCCCCCCCCGCTCCCCCGCCAGTCCCACCTGGACCAGCTCCTGTGCGACCCAGGCTCTCAAATGGCACGGGCAGTTGTGGCTGTGGCCAAGTTTCTCTTTCTCCCCCTGTGGTTTGCCACTTCCCCCACCTCTTTCCCATTAAGGTTCCCCTAATCATCCCTCCTCTCTGGAGCGTCCTGCTCCAGAGGGGGCTGACCTATCTGGGGAAAAAAAATCCCCTCTGGTCCCAAAACACACCTCTCTTCCTTTGTCCACCATCTCCCTCTCGACCCCGGAATTCTCAGGTCCCAGTGTTCTACTGATCACAGTCTTAAGAGAACAGAAGCCCCAGGGGAGACTGGACCCTGTCTGTAGCTAGCTGGCAGATTAGACAAGGAGGAGGAACCTCTGGCCAGACTCCAGGGACAGAACTGGGGCAGGGTTGACACTGTCAGGCTTCATCCTTCTTTCAGAGCACCTGATTCCCCCAACCCCCCCTTTTTTTTCTGTTTGTTTTTTGAGACAGGATTTCTCTGTGTAGCCCTGGCCTTTCTGCAGCTTGGTCTTTAGACCAGGCTGGCCTCCCACTCACAGAGATCCACCTGAGTCCTGGGATTACAGGTGTGTGCCACCACCTGCCCAGCCTGATCCCATTTTCTGTTAGCTGCTTTATTGAGCTGTGCCTCACATGCCTACAGCCCGTGAGAGTTCTCCTAGAGGGTCTTTGGGCGGGACCTCTTTCCAAAGCAGCCATGTTCTGAATCAAAATTCTGCTCCATCTTCCCCCTTTCTGTTTAAGGTAAAAGTCTGACACCATTTACCTTTTACAATAGAAACGATTACCTGTCTACAAACTTAACAAATATATCCTTATGAAAATCCACTGGCGCGATGATCCTCCATAGCTGCTGTCCTAATTACCTTCAGCAAAAGTCATTTCGGCATCAAGGCTTTCCAGTCTGCTCGCGGCTCAGATCATCAATTTTAATGGAACCCGTGGTCTTTCATCCCCAGCATAACACATTCCCCGAGTCCCATCCTGATGTTAAGACATCTTTAAAGTGTACAGGCTGATCTACTTTGGCATTGCTTTTTCTACCACCCAGTGTCTTTCAGCGAATCTTATTGTCCCTTTCTGCTCATCAAGGTACAATTAGATCTTTATGGATCCACACATAAATTAGACTCTTAGGCACTCGAATTCTATGTCTGGCTCCACATCAGCGAGCCAGTCCTCCTTACCCATGGTTAATGGGATGTCTATCCTGATCCTCAGTTTCATTGGGTACCGTAGGTTCACAATTAACCATTTCCTGTTCTCTTAATCCCTCAGTCTCTTGTATCTCAAGCCTTTGTATTACTATAGCTAATTTTTCTTGTTGTACTGTAAGACCTGGGGTCTCACGGCTCATGAGTTCAAGATCGCGCCCTTCCCAAAAACTCCCACAGACCACGACTCGTTGCAAAAACAAGAGGTTTAATTTAACCATTGCGCAATGGGGTCACCCCTGCCAGTCAGCAAAGAGTGGCACTGGGAGACAAAGGCCTTAGGTTTTTAAAAGAAAAATTGTGGGAAATTTAAAGTTGCAGTTTTGGCAATTTAGGATTGGATGAGGAAGCTATAAAGTAAGATAATTGGTTAGTCTTAGGTGCTCAAGCTTGGCCAGTCCTGCCAAGTGTGGATGCAGCTGCAATTGAAAGTGGGGGTGGTTAGCTCATCCTTGAAGATTAGGGCTGCGGGCTCTTGGCTGGAGGTCAGGAGCTACTCAGAAGAAGAACTGGGGCCATCTGGGTTGGTTACTAAGAAACATTATCTCGAAGACAAGGGTCTGGTCGTTCTTTTTGCTGAATGAAGGTCATTGCTTGCTTGCTTTTTTTCTATCTGTCCTCACAGATAGGGTCACATTTTTCCATTTTCTGGAAAGGTACTAAGAGGCTTTAGCTTAACCTGAATCTAAAACTCAAAACTATAGGCTTTAGAAGACATACAGGTTACAAAGTTAATCTAACTCTTTCAGTACAGCTATTTTTTCAACCTTTAAAAAATTTATTTAATTAATTACAGTTTATTCACTTTGTGTCCCAGCTGTAGCCCCCTCCCTCTTTTTTTTTTTTTTTTTTTTGAAGAAAAAAACATAAATATTGTGATTGGAGGCAGACCACTCCAGTGGTCGAAACTGCAATGAGTATTGCAATGGCTTTTTTCAAGTAACATTTCTATCTTCTCAGCTCCTAGCCTTGGTCTTGAAAGATATGAAATGGAATTTCCTTTTCATTTTCTTTCTTTCTTTCTTTTCTTTTTTTTTTTTTTTTTTGTTTGAGGCAGGGTTTCTCTGTGTAACAGAGCCCTGGCTGTCCTCTGTCCTGGACTTGCTTTGTAGACCAGGCTAGCCTCAAGAGTTTCCCCCTTAAAAAAAATATTTATTATGTATACAGTGTTCTGCCTGCATGTACACCTGCTGACCAGAGGAGGGCACCAGATCTCATTGTAGGTGGTTGGGAGCCACTGTGTGGTTGCTGGGAATTGAACTCACGACCTCTGGTAAAGCAGACAGGGCTCTTACCCGCCAAGCCATCTCTCCAGCCCTGAATTTCCCATTTATTAATGCTGAAAAAGTCTGTCTTTATAATTAAAATTGTCTTTTGGAGTGGCTCTCTGTGATTCAATGATAATGTGCTGTGTCAGAGGCTCATACAGCTGGATCGTACAGACCTAGAAGGTCTTTGGATGTGATCTCTTGCCATAGCAGCCATGTTCTGAATCAAAATTCTGCTACACCCTACTGAGTGTTTTTTATGTTTTATACATTCTAGACACAAATCTCTTACACTATGTATGGATTGCATTGATTTTTTTTCCCCCATTATTTAGGTTGTATTTTTGCTTGTCTGTTATTTGAAAAGCAACCATAATTCCAGTTCTAGGGAATTATACGCCCCTTATTCTAGCCTCCTAGGTTCCCAGGCACCCATGAGGTGCACAGACATACATGGAGGAAAACACCTTTACACATAAATAAGAAGCCCGCGCCTATGCCCTTAGTGGGACTCACTTTTCTCAGGGCCTCTCTTCCAACCCTTAAGCCTTTATTATTATTATTGTTGTTTTTCAAGACAGGGTTCCTCTGGATAGCCTTGGCTGTCTTGGAACTCACTCTGTGGACCAGGCTGGCTTAGCACTCACAGAGATCCACCTGCCTCTGCTTCCTGAGTGCCGGGATTAAAGGCGTGCACCACCACTTCCTTGTATATTAAAATATCTTTAATAAAATCTCCAACTTGACTTCATCATACTGGCAAGTCCTAAAATCATTTTCAGGAGCCACAAATCTTGTTTTGCGGTTCCTAAAAGATTAGGGGAACTCCTGGAGCCCCTGAGGGTGACAGTATGGAACTTCATCTCTGTCCCCTCACTGCTGACAAGGATACTTAGAACTTATAGCTATCCTCCTGCCTCTGCCTTCCCATGCTGGGATTGCAGGCATACTGTCACAACATTCAACCATGGCTTCTTCTTTTTTTTTTTTTTTTGAGACAGAGTTTCTCTGTGTAGCCTTGGCTGTCCTGGACTCGCTTTGTAGATCAGGCTGGCCTCAAACTCACAGAGCTCCACCTGCCTCTGCCTCCTGCAGTGCTGGGATCACAGGTGTCACCACCACACCTGGCTGGAGGAAACAGATTCGTTTTTAAATGATTCATTTTATGAAACTTCGCTCTTTAGGCTCTAAAATACAACTCTCACCTCAATGAAAATAAGAGATTGTTTTGGAGCCAAGTAGAAGCGTCCATGGCTCAGGAACACAGATTCAAGTTACCCAAGTACATGTTCCAGGTATGGTAAGAGCTGGAAATTTCATGACATTTTTATAGTGACTGTCTTGGTCGGTGTTCTCTCACTGTGAAGAGACACCCTGGCCACAGGTGCTTTTTTAAAAAGAGCACCTAATTGGAGCTTGCTTACAGTTTCAGAGATTTAGTCCATTTTCACCATGCTGGGGAGCATGGCATCCATGCAGACTGATGTGGTGCTGGAGAAATAGTTGAAAGCTCTAAATCTTGATCTGCAGGCAGCAGGAAGAGAGAACCCCAAAAAGCCTGACTTTGGCTTTTGAAACCCCAAAGCCCATCCCCAATGACATACTTCCTCCAACAAGGCTACATCTACTCCAACAAGGCCGCACCTCCTAGTTCCTCTCAATTAGTGCCACTCCTAATGACCAAGCATTCAAATATATGAGCCTGTGAAGGCCATTCTCATTCAAACTACCACAGTGGTGGAAAAAGTTACAAATCAAGGCATTTTTCAAACCGTTGGTGGAGACATCAGGCTGGAGGGTTAGAGCAAAGCAGGGAAATGTCAGTTATTGGCCGTAGATGGCACTCTTAGCCTTGTTATTGGTACAAGCTGAGGTTTGTGCTTTCCAAAAGGATTTACCTAATAGTCACAAGAATTTTAAATCACACACAGAGGTGGGCAATAAGTGGTTACTCAGAGTGTCAAGAAAGCTCAAAATCAATTTGGCTCCCAATCTGTGATATTCTAGCTTTTCACAGTCGATCAACCTCACGCAATGTTTCCCCCAATGTGATGGTGGTTTGAATGATAATGCTCCCCTTAAGCTCATATATTTGCATACTTAGTCCCCAGATGATGAAGTGTTTGGAAGGATTAGGAGGTGTGTCCTTATTGAAGGAGGTGTGATGGTGGGAATGGTCCTTGAGGTTTCAAAAGCACAGGCCAGGCCCCGTCACTGTTGTCATTGTCCTCCCCCACTCCCAGCCCCCGGGTGTCGTGGTCCACCCACACCCACCAGGAGCATGATGTAAAGCTCTCAGCTGCGTCTCCAGCACCATGCTTGCCCGCATGCCGCCATGCTCGCCGGCATGGACTGACCTTCTGAAATTGCAAGCGAGCCCCCGGTTAAATAAATGATTTCTAAGTACTGGCTTGGCCATGGTGTCTCTTCACAGCAATAGAACAGTAACTAAAAAACACCCAGAAACTTCTGATTTCTACTGTTGAGCTAAGCCACTGGGACCTTTAGTACATAGTAGGTTACAATAAACGTGGAGGATGGTGGAGTCGATTTTTTCAGAAGCCTCTGAGAGCCTTCTGGGGTTAGCAGGGAGGAGTACGTTCAGCTGAGGAGGATGAGGCTGCAGGGCCTCTCGCAAATCAGCCAACCTGGCCTAGGGTATAGAGTTGAACCACAAGCAATTTCAGGATTAGGCCCTGATCTGCACTGCATCCTTTTCCGGGTGTGCAAAGCCAGGGATTAATCGCCTCGTGTTCTGATCCAAAGTGCCCGACAGAGGGCACTCGGGAGCGACCGAGGACCGGGAGCCTCTGCTCAAGCCAGAATGGGGTCACTTCCGGTCCCGAGGAGGCGGGGAAGAAGCCGGAAGTCCGTTGAGCTCTGGCAGTCGAGATGGAGGAGGGCGAGTACGAGTCGGTTCTCTGTGTCAAGCCAGAGGTCCACGTCTACCGCATCCCGCCGCGGGCCACCAACCGTGGCTACAGGTGACCGTTTCTGGCTTACTCTTTCCCACTCCACCCCGGCATGCACTGCGGGGGACCGAGGACCGGCTGTCGCGTTGGGGGGCGGAAGGGATGGAGCTCCGTGGCTGCTTCCCGGAGGGCTCGCTGGCCGTGAGCGTCAGCGGGACGGGGGCAACCGTCACAGCCAGCTCCCGAGGCCCCGAGAGGGCTGCGGGTTCCCTCGGCGGGGTCCACGTACAGGTCCTGCCACAGCGCTAACTGACAGCCTTGACGGGATCCTTGAAAACCCTGCCACCCGCGGGAATCCCCACCGGGAGGGCCGAGGAGGGAACCCGGCTCCGTCTGAGGGACCTGTCCCGCGAAGCCCAGGGAGCTGGGGCCTGGCTCCGGCTTTCTTGACCTCAGTTTCACCCCTGAACAAAACATACTGCAGCTGGGAGGACCCCACCGCCCTTGTCTTGAGTAAGCGTCACCTGAGGCAAATAAACACACATGCTTGTAAACACACGGAGTGCCTCTGGAAGGGAACCCAGAACTCTGTTCTAGGAGAGGTGAACCAAAGTCGGACACCTCCCGTACTGTTTGCATTCCCTAGCCAAACAAGATGAAAAGCGCTTTCTGAAAAGGGCATTTCAGATATAACTGATGTGGCCTGTGGCCTGTGGCCTGCGATGGGTCGTTGCTCCTTAGGAAGGGTGGCTCTTGAAGGCAGCGGGGCATCTAGCTTGTTTGGTAGCCTGTACCACAGGTGTATTGGAATGCCAGCTTCACCTGCCCTTTATGAGAGTGTCACAGGCTCGTGGCAAATTTTCTGAACAGGCGTGCCTGTGCTATAATTTTGAAATATAATAAGATAACAGGATCCCGGGTCACCGAGCCACGACTGCCGGCGCTTTCTTTGTGTGTCTGTAGGTGTGCGTGTCCACGCTCAACGCTAGCAGAGGAGCAGCAAGTGTCTTGCCTTCTCACTGTCTGTTACTCCCTTGAGGTGGTCTCGAACTGAGCGTGGAGTTTGCCGTTTCATCCAGACCAGCTGTTCAGCAAGCCCCACCCATCCTCCTTTCTCTGTCCTGCCCCACACGGTGTAAGGTTTACAGATACCTGCAGCCACCTCTGGCTTTGGAGATCCAAACTGAGGTCCTCAGGTTTTCTCAGCTCCTGCTCGTCCCTGCGGAACCATCTCCCCACTGGCTCCCTTTCCTTTCTGCTATCAAACTGGAGACTGGCAACCTAAACAGAGATGGCTGCCTACCCAGATCTGTTGGGTGTTTGTTCAGCAGGCTAGTGTTAGCTCCTCTTGGCCCTCAGGAGGGTGGGGTCACCAAGTATCCCGCCAGGCTGGTTTGATATGGAAGAAACTGCCAGCCTTGCACTTAACCTTTAGGCCCCTCCTTAGCCTGAATCTGAAGCCCGTTGGGTCAGGGAGAGGAACAGAAACTGAGCCGCTGCGTTGTTAGCTGTGGGTCTGCTTTCGCACGGCTCTTCAGCAGCTGCCACCAGCTAGAGTTCTAGAGAGCTGACATTTGCTTAGTAACTTCCCGGAAAAACCTCCTGGAAATACCCATGGTGCTTGCTATTTAGGGGTTTCTCTGCTGCTGCAACTGACATAGGACACTATTGCTAAAGGGGCCGAAGAAGGCATTGATGAGCGTCTTTGTTTCCTCGTGTTTCTTCCTGCCTGAAATACATTTGAGAGTATGTTTCCTAACCACTCTGTTCTCTCTCCTGTACACGCAGGCACTTTTAAGCTCTTTTTACCAAAGGTTGTGCCCTCTGTACTTCCTCCAACATGGTCTCAGGGCCCAGCTGGTCAGTCTGTCCAGCGTGCTATCACGGTGTCTTAGCAGAAACAATAGGCCCCTAGCTGCTGGAAGGAAATCCTACTTGGGAGGCAGAAAAGGAAACTGGAAAGGAAATGCCACTTGAGAGAAGGACTGTGGTCTTCAGATTGGGGGTCGGCAAGCTACAACTGCTTGTGGTTTTGAAGGCCTGGAAGCTAAGAATATTTTTTACAACTTTAAAGGACTGGAGATTTTGAAGACTATTTCATAATATAAAAGTTACAAGTTTCAGATTTTGTTTAGTTACTGAGATACAGCAATGTTCAGAAAAATGCTTGCTAAAAGTAGTTTTTTAATGTAACGATTATAGTTTTTATTTTTATTTTTAAATTTACTTTTTGTGTGTGTATGGATGTTTTGTCTGCATGTATGTCTGTGTACCACATGTGTGCCTGGTTCCTAAAGAGACCACAGGGATCCCTTAGGACAGGAATTATAGACCCTTCTGAGCTGCCATGTGGGTACTGGAAATTGAACTTGGTTCCTCAGGTAGAGTAGCCAGTGCTCTTAACCATTGAGCTATCTTACCAGCCCCTGTAATAAGGTTTTTGTTTGTTTGTTTTGTTTTTATGCTTATTTGCTTATTGATTGTGTGTATGTGTGTGGGAACATGCCTGTCACAGCTCTGTGGAGGTCAGAAGACAACATGGAGGCCACGCTTCTTCCCGTCTACCACTCGGGTTCCATGATGACACATGACTTTAATTCCAGCATTCAGGGAGCAGTGGCAGGTGGCTGTCTGTGAGTTGAAGGCTAGCCTGGTTTACAAAGGGAGTTCCATGCTAGCCAGGAAAGGGCTACACATTGAGACCCCCATCTCAGGAAAAACAAAAACGTGTTTTAATTACATTTATTCGTGTGCATCTGTCTGTCTTTGTACACGTGCTGCTGTGTAAGTGGCAGTCAGTGGACAGCTTGTGGGAGTTGGTTCTCTCCTGCCTTGTGGAGTTCTGGGACCAGAAGCAGGCTGTCAGGCCTGGTGGTGGTTGCCATTACCTGCTTTTACAGAAAGGCCGGCCAACTGTCCTCTTGAGCAAGCACTCCTTCCCATTCTCATTCCCAGCCCTGGAGGAATGGAGCAGAGGCTCAGTGTCTTTTGTCCTCATAGGGCCTCGGAATGGCAACTGGACCAGCCTTCGTGGAGTGGCCGGCTGCGGATCACTGCAAAAGGGAAGGTGGCCTACATCAAGCTGGAGGACAAGACCTCAGGTAAAGGCACGGGGCATGGGTTGGGCTAAGTTATCTGTGGAAGAGAGAGGCTGCCCTGGCCAAGCCAGGCTGCTCAGCGCTATGGCAGAACCACTATCAGATAAAGGCCTCTAGGTGATCTAAATGCCAACGTCCTAAACTGGGTATATTAAATTGATAAGAAGCTGCAGGCTCCAGGGCCATCAGTTTTCATTTAGGTCACTGCTGGTGACCCAGCTGCTTCTAAAACACTTGCGGTCATGCTTGCAAGCCCAGAACACGGGGACACGTTTTCTCAAATATCAAGGGTGTTTGATCAGACGCTGAGGCCACCATTCCCATACCTTTGAGCTCAGAGCCTACCATAATGGCTCCTGGATCTGTGGTCTTTGCCACAGCTGTGGGAACCCAGCTACAAGGTGACACTACACATGGGTACCTTTCCTTTGTTTCTGAGACAGAGTCTCATTTAGCCCAGGCTTGCTGGGAACTGTGTAGCCAAGGATGACCCTGAACCTCTGCTCCTTCCACAAGAACAGAGATTATAGGCATGCCCTGCAGTGCCTCCTGTATGGCCTGCTGGGAAACAAAGCCACGAATGCTGAGTGAGCGAGCATGTAACAACTGAGCTCCATTATCTACAGCACAAGGGTGCAGTTTGATTGTCCTGTTGCCTAGTCTCTGAGGTTGACCTGAGCTAGTGTGTTCTAGACTCTACTGTGGAACCATAAGTGCCCTGCTTTCTGCTTGCTGGTTTGCTGGCTCCTCTTATCCTTGATGTTAGGCCTTTCTGAGGCATGGCATACCGGCACTGGGCCCATCGCCTTCAGGCTTTGTGCCAGCTACACAAATGGATGAAGCTGCTGGGCTGGGTGGTGGTGGCCCTCCCCTGGGGCTAATGTGTGGAGATGGAGGCCCGGAATAGGTAGAACTTTTAATCTTTAAGAAAAGCCAAGGCTGGGCATGGCCTTAATTCCATCCAAACACAAAGGCAGGTGGATCTCTGCCTGGCCAGTTCTGGGACAGCAGATAATAAGACGCTATCTTAACCTCCTCCTCCTCCCAAGGGCCAGAGATGGGGGCTATTTTAAAGCAGTCTTAATTTTGAATTAATTGTCAATTAAGTAAAAATTGTTGACACTGTGGGCACCTGTAAGCCTTCTCTGACTCTGCTTTCCCTTCATTTCGTGCTGGCATTAGCCCTTCAGCCAGCATAGATTTGGTTGGATCTTGGAGTAGGCCTTGCCCCTCTGTCCAGCTCTCCTGGTGTGACGTGGCTCACAGCAGGAAAGCCCTAGTACATAATACCAAGCTGGAGGGGCTGGCCCAGGCTCATCCCCCTCTCCCTGTCCTTACAGGAGAGCTCTTCGCACAGGCCCCAGTGGACCAGTTTCCTGGCAGTGCTGTAGAGAGTGTGACTGATTCCAGCAGGTACTTCGTTGTCCGCATTGAAGATGGAAACGGTATGAGTGGGTCTGGAGGGTCTTCTGTGTAGAATCATTGCCTCCGGAAACGTGAGGTTGATGGATGTCACCCCCCACCCCCACCCCCAGGGCGACGTGCTTTTATTGGGATTGGCTTTGGAGACCGAGGGGATGCCTTTGACTTCAACGTGGCATTACAGGACCATTTCAAGTGAGTGCCTCTTGGGGACCTGTATTGTCTCCTGCTTCTCCTCCCTTCTTACCTAGACAAACTGTTCTTCCTGGTTAAGATGTCCAGTGACTGCTTTGTCCGCTGACAGCCTGTCAGTCCACCTCCAGGCTGCCTTTTCTGCTCTCCTGTTCCCCAAGGCTGTGTGCCACCTATGTCAGCTGGCCTAGCATTTTCGGTGTCCCAACTCTTCCTCAGCAGCCCCTGAGCTGCCAGAGTCCTTGTAAGGCTCTTGTGGCTCTAAAGGTCTGCTCCTTTATAATGTCACAAGAGGGACTAACATTTCCAGGGCATGTCGCAGAAGCTTTGGTGCCCTTTATGAAAGGATGGGCACCCTTCAGGCTCTGTCTCTGACTGCAGGTAGGTGGACAGTACCTGTCCATTTGTGTGGACACCCATGTCCCAGTGGCTGCTAGTAGCATTGTAGGTAGGCAGGAAGCACTGTGCTGCCCTTCGCTTTTAGGCACCTGTCCTATCTCAGCACATAGGAGTGTCCAGGTGGGAGCCAGAGGCACCGACCATGCCAGGAGCTAGAGGGGAAAGTGCGGCGCTCACACCTCCTGGGTGCCATGTGTGCATGAGCTTATCTAGTTCTCAGTGTTAAGAACTAAACTCTAGAGCAGTCACTCTCAGCCTTGCTAATGCTGTGACCCTTCAATCAGTACCTCATGTTATGGTGATCCCTTGACCATAAAGTTATTTCCATTGCTACTTCATACTCTTAATTTTGCTACTGTTATGAATCATAATATAAATATCTGTGTTTTCTGATGGTTTTATACGGACCCTGTGAAAGGGTCATTTGACCCCCAAAGGTGTCTCAGTCCACAGGTTGAGAACCTCTGCTCTAAACTATTATACTGGTGCATAGCAGCACCAGAGCTGGCATCTAAACCCTTGGTTGGGAAGTTGGCCTCTGCACAGGCGTCCTGGAGTGAAGACCTTGTAGGTGAAACAGCAGCTGCTGTCCCTGCCTCAGCTCTTTTTTCCTGGCCCTCCCCAGGTGGGTGAAGCAGCAGAGTGAGTTTGCAAAGCAAGCCCAGAACCCAGATGAAGGCCCCAAATTGGACCTGGGCTTCAAGGAGGGCCAGACCATCAAGATCAACATCGCAGTGAGTGCCACCCTCACGTGGCTGTGTGGCTGTGGTTTTGTGACTCTTGAAGGCAGCCAGCCCAAAGCTTCCCAACCCCCCAAACCCTTCATAGTCCAGTTCCATCTGTGTAGCCAGAATGGATCCAGCAGTTTGACCTCATGCCGGGTTCACCGTGGCATTCCAGGCTGAGCTGAGTGTGTACAGGTGTGATGGCAGAATGGCAGCACAGACTCTATGACCACAGCATGCCCTGGTGCTAGGGCTTCTGGAGGAGAAACGCATGGCCCATAATGCAGGAGCCCACAGAAGGCTTCCTGAAGCAGGCCTGCGGGTAGGCTTGAGGGAGCAGAGGGTGGGCAGGCAGTACTAGCACTGGTGTTTCCGTCCTGGCTATTGGAGTGGGCCCAGAGAATCAGTGTGCTTATCTCAAGCTGTCTCTGCATGAGGAAGGTCTGGGAGCACTCCTGCTTGGAAGGCATCAAGGAGGATGCTGGGAGTCTTGGGCGCTTCTGCTGGTGGTATTGTCCTGGCTCCTGGAGTCTTTTTCCTGTGTGTTTCTGCATTCAGCATTCCCCACCAGCTCTTGCTGACTAGGTTAAGGTGGACTGGGGACCCAGACGAGGTCTCTTCCTGGCTGCCAGAGTGGAGGGGGCAGTGGTGTTGGGAGGCACTTGGGGGAATCAAGGATCTGTTTGGAGAAAGTGTGTGACTCTGAATTAATGCTTTTCCTCTTTACTCACCGTTTCTCTCTCTTTCCTGCTTCATGCTGGTGATGCTTTGGGACCTTGAAGTTGGCCAGCTGGCCCTTGAGAGAAAACACAAGTCCAACCCAGTGGACTGGTGGCACTGTGATTCTTTCTCTTGCTTGGAAGAAACTAACCTTTAATGCGCGTCAGCTGTGGGCCAGGTAGTGTTTTCAGGCATTTTCTCATCTGACTTCAGCATATCCCTTTCTAAAAGATAAAAGATTGAGGCCCAGGGACAGGAGGGGACTTGGCTGGGACAGGAGAGCTAGACATAACTGGCCCAGCTAGCTGCATGTAGAGAGTGCTGGGACGTCTACCCCTGCTGCTGCTGTGCTCACAAGCAGGGACTGCTGTCTCCATCAGTGTGGCTCGTGCTGGTTTCCGGCTCACCCGCGGTGCTTACTGCTTTATCATGTGTTGAAGTGTCACGTACAGAAAAGTGCCCGGATGGTAAATGCAGGACAGTGAATTTTTCAAACCAAACTCATGGGCTGGGAAGATGATGCCTGCCGGTAAGATGCTCGCCTTACATGTGTGAGAACCTGAACTCAAGATCCATGTAGACAGGTCATGTCACAGGACGACACATACTGGTGTCGGAAGCATATGCTTATAGCCCCAGCCCTAGGGAGACAGAGGCAGGAGGGTCCCTGGTGCTCACTGGCCAGCCATCCTCTCCTCACTGGTGAGTTCTGGGTCAGTAAGAGATCAGACTTAAGGAGGTGGGTGGTGTTTCTGGAGGTGACACTCAGGGTTGACCTCTGGCCTGCACACTCACGTGCACCATCAGCCACATGTATGAACACGTACACGTACCCACACACAGACACAATACTTAAGAGCATGGGATGGGATTTTCCTAGGTCAGGAATAGAAGACTGAGCTGGTTAGGAGCCCCTGCCCTGCCTTCCAGTGCCCTGGACTGAGTCTATCCTTTGCTTCTGTGAGTTTGTGGGAGACATAATCTCTTTCATATCTGATCCCCTCATTCAGTGTCATGCTGTAAGAGTTACCCATGTGGTTGTTCATCTCCGTGACGGCACATGTGGTTGTTCATCTGTTTTCACTGAGGATGGACACTGGGGGCTCCATCGGGGTCAGCTCCAGATGCTGCTGCTGTGAATGGCCAAGCTTGAGTCTTTGTTGTGCACAGATGTCTAAGGATGGGGCCGCAGAACCCCGTGCTGCTCCATCTATGCCTGTGGATGCTTCGGCAGAACACTGACTGGCTTCCCTTGCCCCTCCATGCGTGAATGTCCTGGCTGCGCTGTCCAGTCCATACCCGGGCTGTTTTTGTGGGTGGAATGGTGTATGGTTATAATCTGTACTTTCGTGATGAGAAGTGAGATCCTACTCACTCCTGACCATATGTGCTAGATGGGATCTTGGAATAGGTTTCTTCTAGCTCAGCCTGCTGTGTGGGACCGACATTGGCTGTCCAGGTGTTGAGGACTGGAGGTCTCCGTGGCTTTTCTAGTGTGTGGTGACTCTGGCACAAAGGCTGATTTGCATTCTTCTCTTCTCCTTAGAACATGAGAAAGAAGGAAGGAGCAGCTGGGACCCCAAGAGCCAGGCCCACCAGCACAGGAGGCCTGAGCCTGCTTCCCCCTCCTCCAGGGGTCAAGACCCCCATCCTTATCCCTCCTCCTAGGGAGCAGTTGTCTGTGGGGGGCTCTCTGGTTCAGCCAGCAGTTGTTTCTGGTTCAGGTGAGTGCTGGGGTGACCTTTGCACCCAGACCTGGCAACTTTGTCCCCAGTGGTAATGAGGTTTCTCTTTCTCCCACTTGCTTTGTACCGGTGTATGTGACTAGATGGTGGCACTGTCAGTGTGTCCTGCATACACTTGAAGTTCCTCTGTTCCCTGGCCTTTCTCCTTCCCCTTCAGGGTACCTGTCCTGGGAGGCAGTGACCATGAGGTCATCAGTATGCAGGTGCCTGGGCCTCAGTGTGTCCTGGACAGTCTGTGCTCACATGTGGGAAAGGTGAACCTCAGTGCACAGGCTAGATGTATGGGGCCCAGATCACTAGTGCCAGCATTGTTCACCTTGGGGGCCCTCCAGAGGAACTGGGACTGTGAAGGGAGGCCACTGGAGCAGGGGTGTTGGCATTCTAGGTAGAAGGAACTTTAAGTGCTGTTAGAGAGTTGGGCCAGGTGCAGCCATTAGCCACTGTGAGCAGGAGAAGCCACGGGAGAGGAGGGGATCCAGTGTGAGCTCCTCCTTGTACCGCCAGGTGCTGTCAGGCGGAGAACCTCTCCTAGTGGGCTGCACTGAGAAGCCCTTTCCCTCCTCCTCCTCTCCAGGCTGGGCGTGTCACCATTGCTTTTCCACAGCACTGTCAGCAGGTTTAGAGTGAATGCATCTAGGGAGGAAGCCTTCCTGAGTCCCTGCTCATTAGAGTCGAGGACATCAGCTCCTCTCTTTGGAGGTCAGGCTCCCACCTTCAGCCATGTGAAGTTGACCAAGAGAGCGCCAGAGTTAGCTTCCGCCTGGTGTCAGGGAACCGTTCTTCCAGCATTTCGTTCAGTGTGTGCCCATCGGACCACTGGCTTTGGCATCACTAGAGACAGGAGCAGCAGTCTGAATGCTTAGGGCTTTCGTGTGTGTCTCAGCCTTTCCCAGGTCCTGGGCCCTGTCTGAGTGCATGTGGATGACTAGGGCCCAGAGACATCATAGGACAAGTGTCCCTTGACTTAGGACGGATAGAGTAACATTCTGATAAACAAGTGGAGCGTGCACCTGACACCTTCATTATCGTAATAAAGCTGAAAACCCTAATCCAGTATCATTTAAGTCAGGACCAATTGTAGAGCATGGAGCCCTTGCCTTCTGTGGCTTCCATCCGTGTGTTCATGGCCTGCAGTAAACATGTTCACAAACAAGATGATGTCAGACAGTAAGGCAGCTGCCATCTGTTGAGGCTGTCTGCTCTGGAGTTACGGTGGTTGAGTTCAAACTGTAGCTCACTGTTTTTGAGCTCATAGTGGCCTTCTCAGTGCCTCCGTTTTCCCATCTGTAGAATGGGGTAGTCGTGGTGCTTATGGTGAAGATCACCTGAGCTATGCCATGTACCACACTTGGAATGGTATGCTGACCACTGTGAGCTCTCACTGGGTGCCAGCCTAGGTTTACTCATTGGCCTGAGCTGAGCATGGCAAATCTATGAGCTAACCCTGGCCTGTGAAATAGTCCTATCAACCATATGAGAGATAAGAGAACTCAAACTCAAGTGACCTGCACAATCTCGCAACTAATCCTGGCCTGATCTTCCCTAGAAGCTGTGGTGAGGTTCAAATGAGACAATACACATAGCACTCGGCGAACTGTGAAGTACCCCCATTGGGGACCTTGGTTTCATCTGGTTTTGCAGCCCAGAGCAGATGAGACATGACAGTGTAGCTGTTGGCAGCATAGGAAAGGCACCAGGAAGCCGAGTAGGCTTGCCCCTGTGGAGAGAGGTGTACGGCAGGCTTCTGTGTGGCTCAGCTCGACTGGAAGCCTCTTCCTGGCACTGTGTGGCCTGGGGTCTGGGCAGTTGATCCACCCGTTGCTGCAGGCTTTCTGGAGGGGGCTCTGGGGAGGCATTCTTCACTCCAGACACCAGGGTACAACACAGGTGTGACTCATGTTCCCTTGCACTTTTCCATCTACCTTGTGTGTGACTCCTGCTTTCTCTCTAGGGGCCACCAAGGGCCCATGAGAAAGGTGGTGGAAATGTGGCTCTCTGGAGTTGTTGGTCCCCAAAACATGTCTCCCTGTGTCTCAGCTGCCTGGGGTCATACGACTGGCCACTTGTTAGCAAGGCCACCAGAAGGACATCTCTGACATCCCTGTCTCTTTTTCTCCCTCTCACTGAACTTGGGGACTAGGAGGTGCTGCAGAATCCTGGCCACAATCTAAGCCTGCTGCCGCTGCCACTGCTGATGTCTGGGGTGACTTCACCAAATCCCCAGGGTGAGGAGGGTAGCTTTCTGGGCTGGGTGGGGCCACAACTGTTTCTCTGAGTTCCCTGGAATTGCTGGCTGAGCCTGCTGGGAGACCAGCTCTGGTTGCACATTTTCATGGCAGCCACAGAACAGAGAACCCCTGCCTTGGGTGGCATTGCCCTCTTTGCCTCTAAAGGATTTTCACTGCCCCCCACTGCCTGAGACCTCCATCCACAAACTTGTGTGGTTCTCATCAAGTGTTCACACATAGATTTTAGACCTGGATCATCTTCAGGGAACCTCTGAGGCAAGGCCTCGCCTGAGCTTTAAGCCCTGCCCTTAGGTCATTTGTGGAAAGATGCCAGATTCCTATTGTCAGGGGTACGTGGGAGGCTCTGCGGTGTCAGCACAGGTCTGTTTTCTGTAAAGAAACAGCTAAAATCCTCACACAGGCCAGATTGGATTCTTGAGCCACATCTGCCACCTGCTGCTCCAGGCTATTTGGGGACTGTCCGCTCAGAGCTCCTCCTACCCAAAAAGATGTCCACTCTGTCTGCTTGCAACAGCTGATACTTCCACCTCCCTGTCTTCTCGTTACAGGACGCCTTCCAGCCAGTCTCAGCCAGGCACGGGCTGGGTCCAATTTTGACCTGCCCAACTTTTTCCTCAGCTGACTTCTGTGAAGGAGCTGCCACATCCAGGCCCAAGGAAGGAGGCAAAGTGCTCCCTGGCTGGCCCCTGGGGCATCGCTGTCCTCTCCTTGCCAGGCTCTCTTGACAACCTGAGCCTGACTGACAAGAAGCAGTGAATTGGCACCATGCCACACTGTTGCTGGGACTCAGGTGCTGCACTGCCAGAAGACAGGAGCAAACACTCCAGGGCTCCCACACCCATCGCCCTCCTCACTGAGGGACCCAGACTTCTTCCATCAAGGACCTTATTAAACGCAGCCCCCAAAGCACAGAATGGGTTGAGTTTGTGGCCTGGGTTCAGTTCTGCCTCTCGGGTTGGCAGGTAGCCCACATTCACTGTTGGGCAGGGGACTTCCTGCACTCTGTCATAGGAGCCATCCGATGCCTTCCAGAGGAGGCCTTCCTGGCTGCCAGCCAGTCTCTGAGCTGCAGTGGAGTGGGCTGTCAGGGACACCAGAAGGATTAAACAGCTTTTTGAAAATGTTGACACATTGCTCTGCTAATATGCTGACCCGCACTAATGCTCCCTTGCAAAGGACCCGCTGACATACTCTTCTCCCTGCCTGAGCCCCGCAGGAAGCAGTGGGAGTCCGCCTGCACACCTGGCTCTCGTCTTCCTCTGGTGGGGCAGGCTCTGGAAGCCAGCTGGGCAGTGTTGTGGGGAAGTTGAAGCACAGATGGAGCCAGCGCGCCTGTCTTCTGGGTCTGCTCGGGCTCACGGGTTCATGGTATAGCTGGCCCACTTGACTTTTCCCTGGTGGCTCCTGGAGGGATGTGTCTGTGGGCAGTCTCGTTTGTTTGTTGTTTGTTTGTTTCCCTTCAGAGACTGACAGAAGGAGCTCTGTCAGCTGGAAGTCCGGGCCATCAGGATTAATTCATAAGAAATTGCCGTCTCTTCAGTGAACCTCATGCTCAAGTTTCTTTATAGACTTAACCTTACCTTCAGTTGAAAGGTTTCTTTTTTGAAGGGTCAAGACTGTGCTGACCTCGTGGGACCAGAGTTTTAAAGATGAAAAAAATAAATGTTTTTACTTGTGTACTACATCTCAAATGGATGTGTTTTTGGTGGTGTGGCTGCTCAGCTCTCGGGTGCCCAGGCACCATGTCTTTCAGAGACCCTGATCCTGTCACCCTGAGGACAGGACCTCAGCATGTCTAGAGGAGACTTTTCTAAGCCTCCTGGCTTAGAACACTGGTAACTGATTGTGTCTTAGAACCTCAGTGGAGAACCTTGTCTCTGCAGACCCCATACAAGCCCAAGTGTGAAAGGTGCATGCACACAGGCCAGGCAGAAAAAAACGTTACACAGAAACGCTAATGTCCGAAGGCTCAGGACAAAAGGCAGATTTATGGCCATAGTGTGTGGTAACCAGCACAGGGGAGGTAGGAGCAGAGCTGCGGGATCCCACCCGCTGAACACACGAGGAGTGTGTCAAAGGGGCCACATCACTGCCCATCTGGGTGAATGCCGTCTGTGCATGGAGGCTGAGAACTGGAATGGCTAGAATAGGGTACCCTCAATTAGAAGTCTGTCAGGTGTGGTGGCACCCACCTGGAGTTCCAGTATGGTGGAGGTGGAGAGATGGTGAATTCCAGGCCAATATGGGTTACCTAGTGAGAGCTGGTATCGAGTGTTGCAGGGCCTGGCTCTTGCAGTTTGGTCTCTAGCACCTAGGCAGCACCTCACAACTGCCTGTGCGTCCAGCTCTGAGGGCTCCAGTGCCTCTGGCTTCCCTGAGCACTCACACTCATGGATACACACAGGCATAATTTTCTGTGTATTTTCGTGTATGGGTGTTTACTTAAATATATATGGTTGTACAGCACGTGTGCCTGGTGGCCAAGGAGGACGGAGAGGGTGTCAGATTCCCCAAGACAGTCGTGAGCCCTCAAGTAGGTGATGGACACTGAACCAGGATCCTCAGAAAGAGCTGTCAGGTCCTCACTGAGCCATCTCTCCTGCCCCACTTGATTTTTAAAAGTGTTCTGAGGTCAGGGCTTGGCTTCTGGAAGCCGATCGGGCTTTAGATCTAGGCTGTCCCCTTGTTGGCACTAGGACCACTACACTTTTTTTTTTTTCCTGCATGTCAGGTGTTTTTCTCAATTTGCCCTCCACTTTATTTTAAATTTTTGTATATGAGGATATTCTGCCTTTGTGTATATCTGGGCACCACCTTTGTGCCTGCCTAATGCCCGCAGAGGCCAGCAGAGGGCATCGGATGTTTGTCAAGGCCTCTCTGGGGTGAGCTATAGCAGGAGCAGTGTCTGCAGAGTACAGAGGGACTTTCTCAGACCTGCCAGTGGTATAAATAATGACAAGAAGACTTTTAAATACTTTAAAGCTTAGGCCTTTAGCTGGGGCAGCTTCCCAGCTACCATCTAGATTTAACCCGACTATTCTACCCACCGTGTGGTTAATTCTTTGCTGCTGTTTATGTCTGTCTGTCTGTCTCCTACATCTGCTTCCAAATCTCCACATATGCTTTCTTCTCCCAGCATCCCTCTCTCTCCAGGAAGTTCTGTCTTCCACTTCCTGCTTCAGCTATTAGCCATCGGCTCTTTATTACAACCAATCAGAAGTGAGCCAACACCTGACACATCTATTAGATTGCTGTTTACAAAATAGAAGGCCCGTTGATGGGCCATAGAAATCACAATAGCACGGGGGGTGGGGTTGGGGATGGGGGGTTGGCACACCCTTTAATCCCAGCGCTTGGGAGGAAGAGGCAGGAGGATCTCTGTGAGTTGGAGGATAGCCTGGTCTACAAAGCAAGTAGACAAAGTTAGACAAAGAAACCCCTATTTCAAAAAAATAAAATAAAACAAAACCAAGAATAATACCAACATCCTGCTAACACTTAGCTCTCTGCTGGCACAGGATGGACAGTTGAAAATACAGAGACACGCCTTCACACACTATGAAGGGAAGCCATTCCAACAGCTGAGAAGTTACATAAATGTGCATCTGTCCAGTGACTCACTAGATCCCTGGGGAAGAGGAGTTAAAAAGTGTGCTATATAGTGATCACTAAGCTGTGTCAAGGTTGGGCAGCTAGGAAAGAAGCCTAGAGTACTGCACAGAGCTTAGTGTAGAGTGCTGACTAGCATGTGCAGAGCCGTGGTCAAGCCCCAGCACTGACAGAACCCAAAATACATACATGCATGCTCTTTTGCTCGGCACTGGAAGGGCAAATATGTAAAATTTTCTCTATAGAGATAGAGGAAACTACATCTCACGGTTGTTACAGGTGGCTAGAGACAGAGATAGATGGACAGAAGCTGGGCAAGGTGATGCAAGGTTGAGGTCAACCTGGGCTAAATAATTCCAGGCCAGCCTGGACTACAGTGTGTGACCCTGTCTCAAAAAAAAAAAAAAAAAAAAAAAAAAACTTTTTGAAGACAGTCAATATGCCATCTTTTCAAAGAAATAACATTTATACTTTACACTTAGGAGATGAACTGGCATACTAGTACCTAAAGATAGAGCATAGTTACTATTTTTAAGTAACATTTTAAAAAGGTGTTCATGTGTGTGTGCATGATTATAGGCTAGAAAAGCTGGAGTTAACAGTGTGTGCTGGCAGCAGGCTTGTTTTGTGGGTGCTGAGGTCCAAACTCCCATTCTGATGATTGAGCAGGAAGGGGGCCTCACCCTTGAACCACCTCCAGCTCAAGTCAACATGTTGGTGTCATCTTCTGTGTGGCAGGGTTTAAACTCACTAAGTGATTAAAGATGATGTTTGATCTTCAAGTCCGCCTCTGCCTCCCAGCTCCTGGGATTTAGGTGTGCTCTACTGGGCTCGGGTTTCTGAAATGCTGGCTTGTCTCTTTATTATTATTTTCTTTGGAGTTTTTTGTTTGTTTTGTTTTTTGAGACAGAGCCTCTCTATATAGGTCTGGCTGTTCTGGAAGTAACTATGTAGACCCAGCTGGCCTCAAACTCAGGTCTGCCTGCCTCTCACTGAGTGCCTGTGCCATTTGGAAAAAACTTGCTGAGTGCTTTTCTTCCAAATGCAAACCCATAAAGGTAAAGGTACTTTTTCAAGCCAAACACTCCATCCTTCAAGGTACTATTTCTGAAGACACGGACAGAAGACCTGCAAGCAGATGTTCAGAAGATCTGGTTCTCAGTTTTATTCCATCTAGGAGAATCAGATGAGCTTCCAGCAATCAGGGCACTACCATTAAAAAAAAAAAGATTTAATTATTATTTTATGTGTTTGTGTTTCGCCTGTATGAATGTGGGTGGGTTCTGGGAATCGAATCTATGTCCTCTGCAAGAATAAGCGCTCTTAACCACTAAGCCAGCCCTCCCCCCCAGTCCGCACCACCATTTTACAAGCGAATACAGGGCAGAGTGCTCAGCAGGACCACTCCACCATCAGGAAAGGATCTCCCAGGGGTCAGATTTTTAAACCGTCGGGCACTGCTCCTGTGGCCCGGAGGGTCGCTGTCTTCGGCCAGAACACAGAGTCTTCAATGGGCCCCTGCAGCTGGGACACTTCCCGACGATGGAGTTCTGGTTGGTGCAGAGAAATCAAGGTTGGTGCAACAGCAAGACTCCAAATTAAGGTGGAGGGCCTTTCTTTGCTGAGCCCCGCTCTCGCCGCCTCGGCCACGCCCCCGGTTGAGCCCCGCCTCCTGACCATGGCTCCGCCCCGTAGCGCCTTTTTCCTCCCCGCGGGCGCTTTGCTTCGCCTCAGCCACGCCCCTTCGCCTGCTTTACGGTGGAGCGAGCGCACGCCTTGCCACCCTCCCCCTTCCCCTCCTCCCACGCTCCCCCCTGTAGCGTCTTTCTCCCACAGGAGGCGCTCACTCCGCCTGGGTCTCGCTCTCGCCCATTGGAGCCTTGTCCTAAGCGCCCGCCTCCTACCCCGCGCCGCTGAGGTTTTCCCTTTGCCCGGGCCCTCCCGCCGTTCTAATCCTGCCTCCTACGTCGCCACGCCTTTGACCGCGCCCCCACGCGCACGTCCCGCCCCTCCGCTGTGCCCGCTCGGCCTCGGCGGCAGCGCGCGAAGGTAGGAACCCGAGGCGCGCGTGCGCGGGGCGGGGACGGGGCGGGTGCGCCCGGCTAAGGAGGCGGGCTGGAGCGGTGTGGGTGTCCTGGGGTCTCCCAGCGCCCCGGCGACCCCTTCGGACTGGGCTGGGCTAGGTCTAGGCGGGAAGAGAACGCACCGGCGGTACGTCCCCACTGGAGTCTCCCCGCCTGGGGCCTGAGGCCCGGGGCCTGCGGCCCAGAAGCCTCTCCTCGGGGGGCCCTGGCTCCACTGGGCGCAGCAGTCGGGAAGGACACGGGCAGCCGTAAGACACTGCCTGTGCCCTCCTGAGTGCCCGGCCTGGCCCTGCGGTGGTTTGCTCTTCCTCTTCCCTTTAGACGATCTCGGTTGGGCGGGAAAGGCTTTCATAGTGCACGAGCAAACAGGCCCAGCGGGATCACTGGGCAATCCAGAATGGGGAGGCCTCAGGAGCCTGTGCGGAGATTTGGGTCTCCACTCAGGGATTTTCAGGATGGGCCCAGCCAACGGCACTGGAGCTGGAATTTGGAGAGACCTTCCAGGCTTTTTGCAAACCCAAGTCTGAAGGGATGTCTGTTCCACCCCAGATCTGCGTAGCCAGCCCCCTGGACAGATGTCCGAACTTGTCTGGAGAGTGGGAACCCTCAGAGAGAGGCCTTGGAAATACCAGTTGTCTACTTAAGATTTCCTGTTTTCCTGTTGAGCCCACAAAGCAATTCCAAGACTAGCAGAGGCTGTGTGGAGTGGCTCTTTGGGGAGACTCCCAAGCACGCGTTCTCTTCATGTACCCTTTCCTCCTGATTGAGTGGGCCTTCGGAGAGTAGGCACCCTTAACCCTTGGGGGCACGGCCTGGCCTGGACCCCTAGTATTTACTGGTGTCTTGTGACCCCTTGCTGTGTAGCACGGCTGAGATTTATGCATCCTCAGCCAAAGTTAAGGGGATTATCCCCCACCCTCGTTTAATTTCCTGTTTAGGTTAAATATCCCAGAAGTCCTTCATTTAAAACAATTTTTTTGATATGTACATA